GGGCTCAGAATCTGACACCTTTCCAGTGAGATACCACGCCCGCTAACCCGCTGAGAAACACGTCACAAGAAACCAAGGATGGAGTTATGTCCTGCTTGGATGTTACCTCCTGGCAGTCTCTGCGGGGATTAGGTTAGGGTCATCATGAGGATGCTTAGTCCTAAAGAAAAAAGGAAACATTTTGAGGAATCTGCGAATTTTAACCGAGGATAGAGAAGAGATCTGGGTTCTGGTAACCTCTTTCTTCCGAGACCCACTTTGGGTTTCGTGACTGAGTCTCGTTAAGTCACATAAATTGAGCATTGGTTGGACAAAGACCAGAACTATGTCTTTGCAGGGATGGACTGGTATAGATTATAGAGTGTTAGATAGTCATCAATTCTCAAGTTTAATAAAATGACAGATGGATAAGATCAGATGTGCATCTCATTAAGCTGAAGCCAGGAGTTTTGGGCAGACTTTAGTGATGTTTCTAAAGAAAGGACAGCTAGCACAGTAGGTAGGTGATCGAGAATTGTTTCTAAAGGTGTGGAATCTTAGGGAGATTAAGGAAATGAACTTGCTCTGAATCTGCAGGCATTTAACCTGCGGCAGCCCGATGATACATTCACGAAGAAGCTTTAAACAGATAAGCCATCATACTGGATGTAGAAATGTTCCAGCTTCCATAATTCTTTATTAAATATTTGACAAGTTGCATCACTTCTTTACAATGACTTCACTTTGTCACATGACTGTTTTGCTGTCAGGAAAACAATCTACAAGTTCTCATTCGATTGCTCGAGTAAAATGAAAAGCCCAAAGGATTCTGTTCTTAAACAAAAGTTTTCCTGTGTGTATCAAATGCAACCATACTCGAAAGCTACTCTGATTGTGAAAATGAGCATTGTCCATAAGTTGTCTTAAAAAATGTCGAAGTAGTTTGGTATTTAATCACTGTATCAAATAGTACTTGGCTTTTTCAGGTGGTGGGTTTATCAGACAAAGTTATGAAACACTGAGAATTCATTTGGAATGCTTGAAACTCTTTTCACCTTCAATGTCACTGTGTTTTTTTCATGTTTCATTTGATAATCAATCCTGAATAAATGACAGCATATTAACATCATCTTGGGGGGGTTCTCTCTGGCTCCGAGGGTCAGAATTCTCAGGGTACAGCTTGGAGAAAACCAGAAGGAACTAAGCTCTCACTCCCTTTCAAAACCAGACTGCTCAAGAAAGGTGTAAAAATGCTATACAAATATATACATATATATTTGGACAGCATATGTATGCATATTTGTATATAAATATTTTACATACATAGTAGAGAAAGAACAAAGTTACGCAGAACTATTACATGAAGGAAACCGTGACAATCTAGGTGAAATCAGTCTCAGTAGGAGCTGCAAACTGGCTTCTATGGGAACACAGATGTCTGCAGACACAGGGTCACGGTCACAAGAAAGGCTGGCGATGCACAGGTACAAGGCTGAGAACGCAATTCACAGAGGTCTGTGGCCAATGTCGTTGGAGTCCTATTGTGACTCCTTACAAACAGACTAACCAACAGAAAGACATGCATTTTAAACATGCATTGCCGCGCGTTAAACCTTTAAAGATGGAGAGATGTCTGATGAGAGGTTTTCTTGGAAAAGTTCACACAGAAAGCTCTCCTTTTCTATAAAACATTATACAGCTCACATCCTAATGCTACGGCATTTTCTGACACACTGAAAACTCTCGTGTGTGTGTGTGTGTGTGTGTGTGTAGACATATGCAAGGGTATATACACTGTTCATTAAGGCTTAGATAAATTATAAAAAAAAATGGTCCAAAGTATATCACATTTTCTTCCCAGTTTTAAAATCTAAAGTACAAAGTGAAGTTTGTAAGGATTTTTAAAAACACTTCTCAGACCTGAAATTGGCAGTTTTGACTTATCAGGATGTATCCCAAAGCCTGGATGCCAGAGAGGTAGTGATCTCCTGGGGTCAGGAAGGGAGCAGACCAGGCAGTTACCCTGCACAGTAGCACCCCCTATTGGCAAGGCGGAAAACGACACCAGACTGCACGTCCCTCCCTGTCAGTCCAGGGGTGCAGACTCTGGGTGAGGAGGAAAGAGGCAAAGGAAGGACAGCTAGCACAGTAGGCAGGAGATCGAGAATTGTTTAACCCAGGCTCATTTTCTAGGTTTTAAAATTTCAGAGCTGAGAGATAAGACTTAGGAAAATACTAGTCAAGTGTTCAGCAATTAGCAACTGTTAGAACAATTAGTAATTTGTTGCATATGAACTTGGCTTTTAAGGGAGCCAATTTGGACCTGGCAAGATCAAACAGCAATAGTACATGCTCTCTATTTTTATCTTAACAATGTGAGATGGAGAAAGTGTTTCAAATGTTTTGCAAACCACTTTTCAGAAGGCGGGAGGAATAATCCGTGTCAGGTCTCTTGATAGCATTGGTCACCTGACCCTTAGGCAATACCTGATGTTAGCTACCAGGGGGCCCTGGAAACAACAATCAAAGAAGCATCTCACACTGTGACCTGGCAGAGGCCTGGCTACAGGAAGGTAAATAATGGAAATGTTTGGGGAACTAGAGAGAAGAGCGCTGACGGGGAACACAACTTCCAAACAGACAAAGGCTCTTGTTTCCTTTTCCCCAGGCAGCACAGCCCCTGAAGCTAATCCCACCAATTAGCTTCCTAATTGATCTCCAGGTCAATAAGAGGCAGGAAGAGAAATATCCAGAACAGACGGTTGTGATAACTGTTCAAAGACCTTCAACATGTAGTATGTAAACGCGGGAACTTACCTCCTAAACTCAAGGCAAACCGGCCCATGATAACCATGCCTTCTAGGAACTAACACACACATGTGGATTCAAGTGATTTCTAAGGAAACAGAGGCTCCCTGGACTCCGGAGCAGGGTCACTGCTGGGGACACCTAGAAAGGGTGACGCAGGCTGCTGACCAGAGTGGTGGAGGCCCATGGAATGACCCATCCTTCCGCTCCTCACCTGACATGCTTTCTTTACTGCCTGCTGTCATTACGTCCCGAAGATGACGCAGAGTGGTCAAGATTTAGAGGAAACAAGAGATATGACTACTTTCAACAAAGAGTGAAACATAGAATTGTTGAGAACTAAGGAACCTTACTTGGATTACAAACAAGCAAAAATGAATCTCAAACCCAGCACTATTGAGCTGTTATTGAAATCAGATATTAAGGAATAGATGAACTGAACTGTCATTCACAATCACTGCTATTCAAATATTTATAGGGGCAATATGTGGAGAATTCTCATCTGTTCCTGGTATACAGATTATCTTAGAGTGATTTTTTCTTTCATATTTTTAATACTTTGTCTAATTTGCATTTAACAAATACTCTGATTTTGAATATATAATTTAAAAGTGATAGAAGACCCCCAGTCTTTATGCCAGAATTGCTGGATTTCTTCCCCTCCAGTCACATGATCACTCTCAGAACCCACCCAGCACGCTGCTCACCCAGGCTCTGGCACAAGTCTGACAAAGAAAGCTGACCCTGGACAAGGAGGGACTGTAAGAAGGGGTTTTGCCACTGAGACATTTGTTGGGGGCGGGGGGAGATTCCCACCAACAAATAAAAATACTGAGCAACACTATGGTTTTTTCTCCCTAATTACTCAGGATCTACGTTTTCTGATCACTATTAGGTACTTTAAAGTCAATATGTAAAGGGAGCCAGTCCTCAGCTTGGCAGAAACCCACCTTCTTTAGACACCGTGGACTTTAGCTCATTTACAACCACAGACACACAGCTTCTCACAAGCCACAAAACAGAATTTCTTCCACCAAAAGGTCCTTCTTGCATAACAAACAGAGGCCCTAAAGCCACCATTTTTGTCTTATTTATGACTGGCGAGAGATCAGATCTCTAGTGTTCCCTGGTAACCACCGCAGGGTCTAGGACCTCACAGAGTAAGAAGGCAAGCAGGGCTGAACTCCCACACTGCCTCGGGTGATCTCTCAAAACAGAATTCTGCACCAGAAATTACAGCAGCAAAGGATCACACTGTGCACACATCCTCCACCCTGCCCCCCAACCAGCTCGACAGCCTGGCCACAGAGGGTTTCATCTGGCACATGACAGACACGGGCAGCCCACAGCACGGAAGCAGCATGCAACACGCCACAGGGAACAAAGCTGGTTCAACCGCGTGCGTATTAAACCCATCTCTGAGCAGAAATCAAAAAATGATCGGCGAGGACAGGTCTGTCAGCTTAGCTTCACAGCCAGGTTCTATACACCAGCAGCCAGATTCACTGTTGACAGGTATGGCACCAGAAAGATGTGTGCAGGGAGAGAAATAATCATCAGATTTAATGTCCACAAGAAACAAAACACAAACCAAACCAGGTATGACCTCCACGTAGTACATAAAGTGCCTTCGGAATTGGTGCAGTTAGAACAACTGTGATCTAGCAATTATCAGCAAACGCGTACAACAGGAGACTAGACAGATCTGGTTTCCAGTTTCAGATCAGGCAGTGCCGAGTTTCATTCAAATAAATGTCTCTGCCCCGAACAGCAAAGAGGGAAATATAATAAAAGATAAAGTACAGCATCAGAAAGGGTTAAGTAATTTCTCCTATAAGAAATGACCGCCCAACCCCGTCTCAAATGTGTTAGAACACCTGTGAGTACTTTAGGGAATAATGGTGTGATTCCTTCCAGTCAACACAAAATTTGTCATGCTATGGTACAATTCTCCCAGCCTGTAGCGATTATGCTAAATTTGTACAAAAAAATCTAATATCCACTTTGTTTTCATTTTGAGTATGGAAAAAATTATCATTATGCCTAATACTTTAAATGCTCTCAAAGTACTTGTCTGTAAGAACGATTTGGACATAAACCAGTCTTCCAGTTCTAATAAAGTCGAGCGTAGGGGTGTCAAAGTACTTCAAAAGCAAAAATGTCAGACATTAAACCTGGCATCAAAGTCAAATACAAAAAAAATATATGCTCACTTTTCCAAGTACATGAGACATCTTTAATTGTAATGAAATGAAATCGGAAAATCGGTCTAAATCATTTTCAAAAAGTAAACATGAGTTGTAATACTATACCTGTAGAGTGATTAATTCCATTCATTGTCATTATAAAGTATGCAAAATATTTATTAAGGGCTTTGCCTATAGAGGCACAACATAAATAGAATTAAGTCCTCCTGAAATGTAATTAGTGTACACATCAACCAGATGATAATTCACGGTGGAAAATGCAGAAACGGGACCTGGGACTGGGTTCCCACGTCTGGACTTGGGCAAGTCACCGGCGAAGGCTCTGCTCCAGGAGCCATGCTGTGCAATGCTCCCTGCCATCGTCTCTGCAAAGTCCGTTAGGCAAACGCAAAAGTGCAAGCAGGACTTGCTGGATGAACCACCACCCAAGGCAGGGGCGCTTAATCCACTCCCTCAAATCCTTGAGCGTTTTCCACAGCCATGAGAAGTTTCTCTCGTAAATCTTCGAAGGTTTCATATGGAGGTAAGTCAAGGCGGTTAAAGCTGCAACAGCAACAAAAGTGTAGGTGAAAAGCCATCCTCAGTATCCTTTAGTTGTAACAGCATTTCCTAGATTTGGCTAAGGGGCATTTGGTGTTGGAGCAAGAGTATGCAAATGTCTTAAGTGAATTCTGATGATCAGAATATAAATGCTAGCGAGGAGACTGTCCACACCCAATAGGCTATATAACCTGCCGGGGAGAGAAAAGACTTTTCTAATAGTCCATGAAACCTCTCTACTCCAGTTCCATAGGAGACACTGACATACACTCTAAGATTTCAAAACCCTATAAACACAGAAGGTTTTATGCATTAGGAGTTCTGGATTCATGGAGCCGTGTCATTCCCGAATGCTCTCACTTCGACATCAGGCCCTGAGCCAACCGCTTGGTTTCACAGGCCTTGGTTTTCATCACAGGGTAGTGATTTTTCTGTTCTGCAGGTGAGGGTCCTGACGCACAGAGAGGTCACATCACTGTGTCCGAGCTCTCGCCCCTGCCAGTGCGCAGACTCAAGACCAGCACCAGGCTGCCTGGGCTCCTGAACCAAAGCTAAGCTGCCTCCACCAATTAAGGTCAGGCAAGCAATAGACACGTGAAGTGACAAGCTGTATTTATAAAAAGCCCTGATTTACCCTGAGGTTTCGTTTGGGGTGTACAAATCTCCCTGCTGGTAGCAAGGCACACTTGTCTAAGAGACCAAGTTCAAAGTCTGGCTCAGCCACTTGCCAGATGTGTGACCTGGGCGGGCCACCATCCTCTCTGAGTCTGTCTGCTCTTTGGCGAAATGGAGAAAATGCTTGCAGGGTGCTGGAAGGGTCAAAACCGAGCATATGTAAGTGTCCTGGCACACAGCAAGTGCACAGAGATGGTGAGCAATGATCATTCGCTCACCATTCACTGAGCGCCCACATGGGACATGAGGAGTGAGAGCCCCAGTCACAGGATTCATGCCTTGAGGGGGTGGACTGCTGACGTGTACCTGTCATGAAAATGGCCACCCACCCGTGCCACAGATAATGATGGTTTACCCTGTGCAGTCAGCATTGCTAAATACTTTTCATTTACGATTTCAGTGAATCCTAGTAATTACCCTATAAGGTAGGTCTTGCTTCATCCCTAGTTGAGGCACAGAGAGGTTAGGTAACTTACTCAAGGTCACACAGTAAGCGTTAGAGCTGGGATTCATACCTATGTTGGCTCCAAAGCCCAGTTCTAACCACTGTTTGTGCTGTCTCAGTGTATAAGACTGCTCCCTCCTGGCAATGACATATGATTCCAAGTTTGAAAAGCTAATGATTATCAGCAGCGGTAAAAAACACACGTCCACAGTAGTTCCTTTACCAACCCCTGAAGTGTTTAATAAGACACAGTAAGCTCTCGGATTTTTTAACAGTCCTTAAACATTATGAGACATAGCAGAGAATACCACTGCTTCTCAGAGTGGAGTTCTTAGAAACCCAGGAATCCTAAAACAATAAGTCTAAAAGAAGTTTTTAATTTTGGTTTTCATTCTGATGACAACCTCGAGTATTATTTTACGTTATAAAGACAGAATTCCATGACTGCAGACCCCACTTAAAAGAGCTGACCACAGAAGGTAGCTTCAGTATTAATTTAAGTTGGTATTTCCATTGGGGCCTGCATTCCTTAGGGATCTGGAAATGCATTCTTGAAGGTCTGTGACCACTGTTTCCCCTCTAATATGACCCACTTCTTAGAACTGCAGTGACGATATCGGTGAATACACACGAAGTGCTGAGGACAATGCTGGGAACACACTTAGTGCTTAATGAGTGTGTAGTTATTATTACCACCGAGGTCAGGGGGCCGGGGCAGTCTAACTAACCGTGGACTTCCCTATCCTCCGTGGGCTTCAGTGTCTTTGTGGGTAAGATGGTGGGCCAAAGGGGATTGTTCTTAGAGTTGACAACAAAGAGTAGGTATTCTTAGTAAAGTGTAATGTGTGACCTTTGACAGGGCAATGAAATGAAGCCTTTAAATATTGGACACCCAATAATTACATCTGAGAGAGTGATGGAAAGTGCCAGAAAGAACCAGACCTACCAGCCCTTGCTCTCCTGGTAAATCAGGTTTGCGTTTTGAGGCTTAATTGTGTGTTTTATAGGAAACATGGAAGACATTAAACATACATATGGCTAAATCGGACTGTATAAGGAACTCTTGCTGTGAGGCAGCCAGCAACGCTGGTTTCCTGCGTGACAGTCAGGTCCAGGCGAGGTTGGGAGACAGCCACGCACACAGAGAACAGAGTCCCGCCCTGCCAGCCAGTGTGGCTGCAATTAGCACTCCCCTGGGCCAGGCCCAGTTGTTCTGGGGAGAAGACCATCATTAGGAAGCCAGTCAAGGCATGTACCTGGGTTGCAGGTTTGACCTCCTCCCGCCTCCCCCGCTCCCTTCATTCTCTCTAAATATCAATGAGAAAAAAAAAACATCCTTACTCCTTGGGTGAGAATAAAAAAATTAAAATACGGCTTGTTGACACGGGTACATTTTTGTCACTCACCATGTGTGAGCTCTGGGCAGTTTGTCAGGACTCCCCCATTGCTCTATTGTAAACAGTTGAGGACCATTGGAACCTAGACAAAAAGAGAAAAGGAAAGTGAATGCTAACAGTGCTCTAGGGAAGTATGTGACCAAGAAAGAGAGGGTGAGCCCAGACGCTCTCTAGGACTGCAGCGTGATGTTTACTATTTAGCTGCAGGAAGCAAGAGGTTTGCACAACCTCACAGCACATGCTCTGTGTCACCTTCAGATGGAACTGAGCTGAAGAGACATCACAACAATGGAAGCGCGGGCTGCTACTGCCTTCCAGCCGAGCCTTGGGAGTTTAAATTTAAAACTACGTTTGGGGAAAAAGGAAACATAACCTTTAATACGCAGAGCAGAAAGTGTTACTTTTTCGTCTATAGTAAGCACTGTGGAATCCTGCTCCCTGCAGGTGAGGTGTCCTGTCAACATTCAGTTTACAGCCATGTGGATGATTCTGCAGAATCTAGTTTTTAAAGATAGACCAAAAAACAAAATAAACAAACAAAAAAGACAAATAGTCTCCTGCTCACCATAAAGTTCAGCAAATCCATTCATAGGTACTCGGGACGTCCCCGTGACAAACTGCAGCAACCGGATACGCTTCTCAGCGTCCATCAGCAGCACAGCCTGGAAACAGAGGCAGAAGGTCACTATATCCCCACAGGACAGTTGGCACACCTTACTTCTACGGCAATGTAAGACCTAGGTGGCTGACTCTGAAAACGGTCCTTTTATTCTTAATGGCCATCACAATGCTGGCCTCTCTACTTTAGAGAGCAAGAGATCAGTGTCTCTTTCTTCTTCTGCAATGAGTCAAAATAAGAGAGATAAAAAGCAGAGTCTCTGATGGCACCGAGCTCAGTTTCTGTTGTGTGAGGCCTGCCAGTTCCCTGAAAGCCAATGATAATAGACAGAATTTGAGACGTGTCAACACTGGGGGAAGCCAGGTTATGAGGTGGGATTTCAGACTGTAGACAGATTCTTGAAAGATGACACTTAAAAAAGAAAAACAGAGCAAGGATAGGCCTCTGAAATAATCTGTGTATCTTACATAATTGGGTTATTACCAGAATTGAGTTGGTAATGTTACTTGAACTGCTGTAAAAAAACAACAACAACAAAAAATCCAAAATCAAAATTAAACGAGACTTGGACTAGGGTAGGGTTTGAAGAATCTACTTTTTTCTTTTTATCTCTGTCTCTGCTGGCACTTGAAATATTATTAAAATTAGCCATTTAGATATTAAAACAAGTGATGTGACTTCTTATCTCTGTAAAGCAAAAAATCATTTTTTTTTCTGTAACTGGTTTTTTAAAGTCACTTGACCATCTCTCCCTTGGACCCACTCATTCCCACTTCACTTCTCTCCTAAGCTAAGCAGAATGCAAACATTAGCCCTAAGATACTAAATAAAATTTCACTTGTAGCCTGAAAGATATAAAAGATCAAAATGTGTGTTGGAAATAACAAAACAAAAAAATTGGGAAAATGATTTTTTAACCGAAAATAGTATCTTGGAAAAGCCAGCATCCAAAGCAGGTTTTTGCCTAGAGGCCTCCCATTCTTATTCACACATTGGAGGACTCCTGCCACTCTTGAATCCAATTACCTCCTTTTCAGAATCATCTACTCAATGGGTTCCTCAAACAGAAGCCACTTGAATCTGGGGGTTAAGGAAGGGTAGTGTGCTGCGATAAGGATCAAGGACAGCTGCCCCTGGAGTTACACAAGGGCTGCTTCTAGCTCAGGTTTGCCTCTTCTCTCCGCCAGGAGCCCACGTACTGACAGAGCCCCAACTTGCGCAGCTAAACTAAAGCAAGACCGTGGGGAGGGCAGCAGAGCCCTCAGGCCTGACCCAGGTGGAGGAGCTGAGTGTGGGCCCAGGAGGCCCTGGCCTTACCTTCCAGAACCACTGAATGACAGGGTGGTTTGGGCAGTAGCCGTTCTTGTAGATAGTATGTTGTCTCCAGTCATTCACGTCCACATCGCCGAGGCCACACATCAGCAACTAGGAAAGAGAGAGAGCAGAATTGTAAACGGGGCACAACGTGAATGCCAAAGAAATCACACTCGGAGAGGTGGCCTTCCTCAGGGCCAGCATGCTGACCTGAGTTCACAGAAACAAATGCAGGGAATGTGTTCCACATTTTACCTGCCACTGCAGACCAGAGACAGCGTTGGTAACAAGGGGCCCAAGTCTAATGCCTGTACAGACCACACTTCCTGATGGAAATGGAAACTCCAGATTGATCATCTTTCCTCCCTCCCTCTCTAATCTGAGCACAATGCTCATAGATTTTCTTATGCTCCATTTATATCTCATTACCCTGGCTGTTTCCCCTTCTGAGAGGTTATTTGTCTCAATATTTGACACTACCTTCCCACCCACAAAAGAATTTGTGTGTTATGACAGCAAGACCTCATCTTGCCCCAATCAATCTATCCCGGGGAAGGGCAAATTACCCATCTGCCCAGTGACCCCAAAGCATGTTCTATGGAGGCAGACCTATTCTAATGTGGTGACCGGTTCACTGACTTAGCAGCTAGCCTTAAGTCTGCTTTTTAAATCATCTAACCCTCTAGTAGGGATGGTTTCCTGTGGACAAATGAACATGACATTCCTGCAGAGGCACTAAATGAAAAAGATAGAGAACTGAGACAGATGCCCGAGAACGGGATACCTAGGCCTAACTGTGCCAAAACCTTGTTGGGTAAACCCGTGAGGTCACTGACTTCTCCCTGCCTTAGTTTCCCCCACTCCCCTCCCACCTCCCCCTTCCCCAGGCAAATGAAGGGCTTACACTTATGATGTCTATGACATCATCTACTTGAAGTTTCCATTTTAAGATAAAAGCACGAAAAGCCAGTCTACAAGACATGCTTCTCTGGATGTGGTTTGGACAAATGACTAATTGAATCCCATCAACAGCTTCCGAGCAGACACAACCTTCCTCTCAACATCAAAAGAGAGAGTCGTTTGCCTTTAAAAAAATATATATATTTATACTGATTTCTGAGAGGAAGAGAGAGGGAGGGAGAGAGAGAAATATCAATGATGAGAATCATTGATTGGCTGCCTCCTGCACACCCCCACTGGGAATCTAGCCTGCAACCTGGGCATGTGCCCTGACCAGATACTGAACCGTGACCTCCTGGTTCATAGGTGGACATTCAACCACCGAGCCACACTGGCTGGGCTCCTTTGCTTTATAAATTGATAGTTCTCATCTACCTCAACACAAAGAAGCTGAAACAATTGAATATCAAACTACCTGTTGTTGACTTCTGACGTTTTTCCTCCCTTAACGCAGACTACTTCAAGTTCACTGACAGGGTGGGTGGGTGGAGGGGGTGCAGCTGGGCCTTGGGAGAAGGGTGCTGCTACCCCAACTGGTGCTGCAGCCCTGGCTCTACTAGAAGCAGTTTTCCTCACCTGGGGCAGTGGGCTATGCACCCAACCAGCTCAGGGGGCCTCTGCTTGTCCCGCCTGTCCCAGAACTGCCCTCTCCTGGACAAGGAATCTGCAGGTGACGACTCCTGCTGTTTCCTTACTCCCCGATTGGCAAACAAGCCCTTTATGAGACCCGTAGTAGATTCACCTGAGCTGTCGCCCCAGGACATTATGGATCAGAGAACGTTAAGATATCATTTATGAAGTAATAAGAAACTTAAAAAATCTACTTTACACAAAATGTTTACAATACATACCTCCAGCTCATTTTCATCAAAAATTTTAATCAAATCGATAGGAAGCAGTTCTGTGAATCCCTGAAAGAAAAAAACAACAACACCCTAAACACCTTTTTCCATAAAAGAGGCAAATTTTTCAGAAAAAACAAACTTTCTTGATTAGCCAGGAAAAAACACATTCTTTACTAATGATTTATATATCAGCAATAGCATCCATAGTTGCAATTCTAATAAAAACAGCCTAGTCATGATATAAAAATTTTGAAAAAGAATAGAATCTAGAAGGTTCAGATACTTGAGTAGTTTCTGAAGCCCTGTGAAAATACGGGTTACTGTAGGCAGGCAGATTCCAGAAGTCACTTATGAGGCAGTCTGTGAGCCAGTGTGTCCTAAAATACACGTGCTATCGACACGAAAGAGGACACAGTTAAGAATCAAGTCCTGAAGGCACTAGATGAAACACACAAGGAGGCAGTGGGCTCGGTACAGGAGAGACCGGGGTGCCGAAGCCTGCTGTAGTGCACAGATAATGTCACTGCCAAGTGGAGGTGCCATGCCTCGGGCCTTAGTAGGGGCTGGGGTTTTTTTTTTTTTAGAGAGAGATTTGTTGTTCCACTTATTGGTTGTTCTTATATATGCCCTGACCAGAGATCTAACCCCACTGGCATATTGGGATGATGCTCTAACCAACTGAGTACCTGGCCAGGGCAGGGCCAGATTTTTGAAAGTATAGAGCAGTGGTTCTCAAACTTCTGGCCCTTTAAATACAGTTCCTCATGTTATGACCCAACCATAAAATTATTTTCATTGCTACTTCATAACTGTAATGTTGCTACTGTTATGAATCATAATGTAAATATCTGATATGCAGGATGGTCTTAGGCGACCCCTGTGAAAGGGTCGTTCAACCGCCAAAGGGGTCGCGACCCACAGGTTGAGAACCGCTGGTATAGAGGGATCAGGTGAGGTGGGGCCCAGGAATGTGCTTCTGGGTTTCTTATATAAAGTATGACACCTGTTCTCAAGTGTATCTAACTCATACTTATGCCCCCAAGTCCCTGAAGTCTGGGGTTGGGGCTTCTTAATCACCAGGAGCTGGGGTAAATTTTGCATCAGTTCACTGGGAATTTATAATGTACTAGAGGCCGGGTGCATGAAAGTTCGTGCACTGGGGAGTTGGGAGTCCCTCAGCCCAGCCTGCCCCCTCTCACAGTCTGGGAGTCCTCAGGGGATGTCCTACTGATGGCTTAGGCTCGCTCCCTGCAATCTGGCCTCCCTCTGCGGGAGGCAACCGGGCTAATCAGGGGAAGGTGCCGCCCCTATCACCCCCGCTGCTGCTGCCACTGCTCGCCGCAGTGGCTGTGAGGCCTGAGCCCTGGGCCTCACAGCCGCCAGGGCTAATGGACGTCCAGAAGACATCTAATATGCCCTAATTAGCATATTACCCTTTTATTAGTATAGATAGTTGGGGCTTGTTTCTAGGTTTGCTTTGAGTAACTAATACCCATTATCAAGATTTAAGAAAGCATTTCACTTTGGGTCAAAGCGAAGCATTTTTAAAAATGACGAATCCATCCCCTCCAGGCCTCTCACAATGGGTCAGGGGGCACCACTGACATCAAATCCTTGGATCTGAGAGGTGCCTGCGTCCCATGTCATCCAGTGGAAGTTGGCACAAGGTGGTTGATACTTTGCTCTAAGATAAAATTCAGCCTAAGAAAATATGTTTCCACGTGCTGCACAGGAGCGAAGTCTGTGAGGAGCCATGAAGACAGCATGAAGGGAACGGCTTTGCTACTGAAGAGTTTGATATGTTCAGTCCGAGTCCTCAGGCTTTGGAGGACCCATCAAGTAGTGCCAAAGGCAGAGGTGCATCTCCCAGCCTTCCCTTGGGCACCACCCAGAAATGCAGGCCAGTGGGTCTGGCTTCCGTGGGGGCCTACCTCTGGTTCATGTTTGTAAAAAGTTCTCTTTAAAAACTGTTAAGGAACATTAAGACATAAGAAGCAAAGACGAGAGCACTAAACTAACAAAATGAAAGGGTGGCCACGTGGTGGCTGACACTCCTGCCCTGGGGACTGGTCCATGGTGCAGGCTGTGCGGCCCTGACCTTTGGGCCGTGTCCCCCCAGCCTGTGCCCATTGTGTGGTGGGTGGTCGTGCCCACCACACCGCCCTCAGGAGTGCCCTCTCTCCAGCTCTGACTCCAGACACAGGTAGACAATCCCAACCGCGCAGCTTACCTCCAAGAAGGCGTTCATTTGCTTCTGGACCCTGTTCACAAACCTCCACTGGATGACTAAGCTGTGGGAGAAAACGGAACAGTGTTTAAGCACCTTTGTCATCACAGCGCTTACGTCTTTCTTCACAGCTTCAATTGAGGCTCATCAGACAAAGGAGAGAAACCCCTACATCGGCAAAGGAAACCGGGGCCCCAGGGCTGTGGCATGCACTGTTTATTCATTAATTCTTTTGAGAGTAACTAGAACACATGTGAAAAACCTAAAATTCCACTTAGGAGTTCAAAGGAATAGTTGATTTCTTTTTCTCCAGATTAAGGCTTAGTTTATATAAATTGCTTTATAAATGTGACTGAAGGTCATGGAATGTGAATACATATGCATATGTGAAGAACATGCATACACATATAAACTCACGTATATACACGCCCACCTATGTATACATATGTACTTACATTTTTAAAGGGAGTACCAGCACAACATATTTTATCAAATGATATTTCACTCTAATAGACATTGTACTAATTTTCAACAATGACCTACAGTTTATAAGCAAAATGATGTACACTAATACTTTAATACTATAATATAGAGGATTAACGATAAGACCTCTTTATGTAACAAATCCACTGAAACCATCTCCCCCGTGACAATGTCTAGTGACAGCAGAGTTTAATGCCGGGCGAATCAACTTCAGATACCTTCTAAGGTGTTTTGTTGTGAAACAGCACAAGGACCTTGTCATCACTGCTCTCACCTTTGAGGGGGCACATGGCAACGGCCCTCGAGGACCAGCCCCCCTCACAGCCACTGCTCAGCCCCACCAGGCTTTTCTGTGCTGAGCTGCGGCCAGCAGCCCAAAGGCCTTCCTGCACCAGAGGCTTGCAGGTGTCAGGGAGCAGGTGGAGATTTCTATCATCCTTTTCTCAGCTAAGATAGCTGCGACTCTGCCCAACCCCACACCCACCAAATCTGAAACCTCAAGGAATCCACTGCAAGGAATGATGTACAACGCATGTCACAATGTCTGAATCCCCGGACTTTCCACCCTAGTCACCTGGGTGGAGTGTTCTAAAATCTATTCAAAGTCTGAACTTTCTGAATGAAGACAGCCTTGCTGGCCAGGGTGCTATCTGCTTGCTGAGATGGTCCAAGTTCAGGCCACCTGACATGCTGTTCAATGTAATAAAAAATTGTAAATGTGCATATACGTACTCAATATATTCCCTTTTGTTTTCATTTGTAACCATTATTTCAGACCCATTGGGCTTCAGATCCACTTGATATGTCTGTAATTACAAAGACAAAACAATGGTCACCATCATGAAGTTATTCTGTGGATTATTACTGGGTAATAATGTCTCACTATAAGAGGAAGATAAGCAAAATTGACTCAGAAATATTTTCCAGGAAATAGGCGTTGTGTACAAGAGGATGCTTAACAAGGTTTTTATGTTGTTAAAACACAGTTAAAGATGTTATCATTAAAGGCAAACTATTTTATGGTTGTGAGTTTTCATTATTCTTCAGACATTAGCAACAATGGAGAAGGAATTAATTGTGTTTACAGAAAAGACAGGGTATGTCCACTGAGACTAGAGACCCAAATCCTAATGTATCTTATTTGTTTTGGAAAATTAAATTTTATAGTCATAAAAAAAGATGTGTGGGATTTTTTTAAACAGGCAAAACTCAGGAACTTAAAGAAAGAAGCTTAAGACATGAGGCTGCAGAGAGGGATCTACCTGATCGTAAAGAGCAAAGCAACTGAGGTCGAGCCATGGCCCTTTCCTGCGCGTGGGGTCAGCTAATACCAATGTGAACTGAGCAGTGGCCAGCAGGAGGGGAAGGAGGGCGAAGCCGACTGTTTTACAAACAATATGTGTCTTCTCATAGAAACTTTGGGGAAGCACATGGGTGTACAGTTTATTCTGTCTGGCATACGATGGCTGTGCAAACACACTGAAATTTGTTCATTTGAAACACTCCTAGTCGGTCCCAGAAACCAGCACTCCAGATTCTCATCAATCAGGATGAAAACAAATCACAAAATAATGGCAACAGCTGCAGTTTCATTACATGAAGCAATGGCTACCACCACTTCATGGTCTGATTTTTCTAATTGTGGAATAAAAAAACAAAACAAAACACCGAGGAGGGCCAAGGGCACGGACACTTCACACCCGTGGTAGCTGCACTCCACTGAAGAAATGACCTGGTGTTGTGGCACGAGGGACACTTGGGCTTCCTCTTGGGTCAGAATAAACTGCACTGTCCAGTCACCAGCTCTGCTGAGGCTGAAAGCAGTGAGAGGCTTGCGCAGGTGTCTCTCTGATGCCCACAGTGTGGGTTCACTCTATTTTGAGTGCCTACCTTATACCAGGCGGTACGCCAAGTAGTGTGGGCACAAAGGTAAGCGAAAAGCAGAACCCGTGCTGCCATCACCAAGACTGAGCCTGGTGGGAGAGGCAGATGCTAAACGCATAGTCACACAAATAAATGCCACATCACCCATGGTACATGCCCCAGGGAGACCTGGGAGATACTCTGAAGCATATGGCCTGGGTCTGATCTGAAGATGGGAGGCAGTGTGTTCCCAACAGAAGGAACAGCATGAGCAAAGATCCCGAGGCTCTGAGAAGGAACCTGGGACCAGACCCAGAATGCATGAGGGACAGCTGTTCCTTCCCCGGAGATGGGCAGGTGGGTCGGGGCCAGGCCACGCAGGACACCATGGGGCAAGTTAATCTCAAGGTCAGTGGGCAGTCTCTAACTGTTTCTGGCAGAGGAATGACATGACACTTCGACATTCTGAAAAGACTACTATGGGAGGCCAAAGTGGATATAAAGAGATCAGTTAGGAGCTGTGAGACAAGACGGTAGCTTAGATTTGGGTGTTGGTGGTGAACAGTCTGGGACAAAACACAGATCTGAGAAAGACATGGAAGCTAAAAATGAACAGGCTTGGTGATGGATTAGATATGGAAGATGCGATCAGTACGTGGGTGCTTAATTCACTACATTTCTTCCCAGAATGAAGGATACATTTGTTCCCTGTTAATCAGGTTAGCTCTCTAAAAAAGCAAGGCAGTAATTTAACAAGTAGGGCACCTGATCATTAGCTTACTCATCTTGTGTGTCTGTTCTGATTACTGCGTTACTCTACCTTGTTCAGCTCAAAAGTCAGAAGTATCTACACTACAGTATTAAACCAAGAGATCTGAGAACTGTCTTTAATGAATAATTAACATGAACTATAATAATAATCAAAATCTTTATTAGAAGCTACTTAATAATCCAAATATCTTGTGTTTGGTTTTATTAGGTGGAAATAGTGACATTTCACTGTAACTAAAGTTTTTCCAGATCACCCGCTCATGCCTTTGGCATTGCTAATGTCTGCTGAACTGTGAGCAAACTTTTAATAATCTCTGAAGCAGTAAGGAATCAATCTATTTCATTTCCCATATGGCAATCTTTAAAATCGGCTCCATGATCTCATTCATTTCAAGGCCCTGAGACCTGGTCTGGGAGATGAGATTTCTCTCTGTGCTTCTGTGGAAGGACGGGTACCAGGGTTGGACATCCTTGAAAAGACCTCCCAAGATGCACTGTTATCAAAGTTTATCACAAATGAATCAGAGGTCCCAGGTTTAAGACAAACACATCCTACAGAACGTTCAGGTGGTGATGAAAATTCCTAGCAGGTGACTTTTTCTTTGACATTAACCTTTCTGATTAATCTAGCCTTAATGACAGTATGGGCACAAAGCAAGAAGGGATGGGAGAGACCTGAGCCTGCTGGGCCCCAGAAGACAAATGACAACAGAACCATTAAGCAGAGAAAAAAAGCCCACGTTCCCCAAAACATCACCTACTCCTGATCATGTAATTATATCATTGAGTAACACACTATTTTTCAAAGTACCTAAATTCTAAAACCAAGGCACAAACGTTTACGTTTTGCATTTTGCTTTAGATTAGAAGTAGGTACCCATTCAGGCCCAGGGGCCTCAGAATTTCTGTCACTTTGCTGGAATTGGGGCTTTGCTTTCTGGCTTAACAATACAATGCTGATACAATGAGATGATGACTAACAGCTAATGCTCCTGGTGGTGGTTTTTAATTGTCCAGAAAAGTTGTGTTACAACCTGTACAAAAGCAAGACTTTCTAAAAGTTGGAGAGGGGCTCCTGGGGCTCCCCGGACATACCTGCCCAAAGTTTTCTTCATCGATACAGAACATGAGGTCCAGTTCAGTGGGATCATTCTCTAGGATCCATTTCAAAGAGTTGTAGTATTCACTGTCCTAGAGAAGTGACACAGACACTAAAATTAAGCTTCTTTTTTTCCCTCCAAAATACAAACTTGTTTGACTTTAAATAATTCAGTCCTTCTAATGTAATTCCTTGCACATTGCTCAAGAATTATATTAGTCTCTACTATGTTTTCTGCTCTACTTCAAACCTACTTAAAATACAAATTAAAAATGTGTTTTAGTAGCAGCAGGGTTTGTAGTTGAATCCTGTCCTCGGTGAAGTGGAGAGGAAATAACCTGCTCTGAATGGCAGTCATCAAATTATACAATCGAACATGGAAGATGAATATACTTCCTGTCTCTGAAGAGTGAAAACATCAACAATAGGAAGAATGAGAACATTTTTAACTAAGTAAATATCAATGGTTTAACCCTTTGAGTGCCAACCAATATCCTAAAATTGCCAAGGCATTTTTGCTGATTTTACAGCAGTTTAGGAAAAAAATTATGAATCGCAAGTAAATGAAGTTACATATTCAAAAACTTAAGGAAACCTTTACTACATTGACATATTTCGCAATATCATCATCACTAATAAAAGCAGACTTAGAACTGGACGCCATTTCGAAGCTTTGATAGCGCTCCCGGCACTTTTGGCGAAAGACAGGAGGAGTGCGATTGCGCTCCCTGGCACTCTAGGGGTTAAGTCCCACCTCTTTCTGTGCTTGTACGGCTCTCTGCAAGTCAGTGTAAGTGGGACCCAGAACACAAGCCGAAAGGGCCTGGCCTCCCCTCTCTCAGGGATTCCAGTGCTGGGATTGGAGCCAGGTTCAAACCTGCAACTCTGATCTGTGGCCTCGATTGGAAATCCAACCTTTGAAACTTAGGTGTGGGGGGCCAATGCTCTAACCACTGAGCAGGGCCCAAATCGCTTTTCAGAAAACTTCTCAAAGCATTCATTTCCTAACTTTTGTCTTTTGCTAAAAGTGCCAGGAGCGCTATCAAAGCTTCAAAATGGCGTCCAGTTCTAAGTCTGCTTTATTAGTGATGATGATATTGCTAAATATGTCAATGTAGTAAAGGTTTCCTTAAGTTTTTGAATATTAACTTCATTTACTTGCGATTCATAATTTTTTTCCTAAACTGCTGTAAAATCAGCAAAAATGCCTTGGCAATTTTAGCATAGTTCCTAGGATACTGGTTGGCACTCAAAGGGTTAAGCTGGTCACACCAGTCCCAGGTAAGCAGAGGTAACTGAGGTTTGCGTTATCCAACTCAGGAACCATGCTTCTAGTTAATGGGAACCATGATTTGCTTATTAGAAAAATTAGGGAGATCAATTAAACTCTTGAACAATTAAATTGTCCCTATTATTGACACTGAATGGAGAAACCCATAGAAAGCACTGTGACAACATGTCACAGCTTCCTTCCGCAAGGCACAGGTGGCCCACGACACCCAGTGGGAGGATCTGCCTTCACTCACCACAGATTCCATGTCATTCAGAGTTATCTGCTTTCCCAGCATCATTTTGTAAAACGGTCTAATGAAGAAACCTAAAACAGGATGAAAACTGGATTAGTTTCAAGTCGTTGATATTACTGTGCAACAGAAATGAAATACAAGCTGAACCTGCCTTCAATTTGAATGAGAGACCAGGACAGGACAATCAAAGACCTTCTGTAGTATCTGTGACCCACTAGACCAGGGTCTGGTGGTGGTTGTTTTTTTTTTGTTTTTTTTTTGAGGGGTGGTGGGTAGTAAGGAGGATAGTTATACTTGTAGAGGTGGTACAGCAGAAAGGGGTCAAAAAGGCTCCTGGGGGTGACAAACAAGCCTCAAGGCCTGGCTAGAATTTTCAGTGTAAACAAGGCACATGAATAGGGGACAGAGGGCACTCTAAGTGAGGGACAAGATCGGGACTTGTGAGTGGTCTGTCAGGGAGGAAGCACAAGGTGTCCTGGGGAGGACAGGCTAGAGAAGGGACTGGGGAGTGGGCAGCTTGCGTGGGGTGTGGGGCACTTTGGGCTGCTACCTGAATGAGGGCCCCGGGCAGTCCCTGGAAGGCCAGGTGATTTCATCTGCATATCAGGACCACTCCTGGGGCAGGCATGGGGAAAAACCAGGAAGGGGACAAGAGGACATGAGGAGACCACTTAGGAGGCTCTGCAATCTTCTAGGGCAGGGATGATGAAGGCCTGAGTGAGGCAATGGCAGTGAGGACACCATCACCCCGGTGTTCCACAGGGCCCCCCAATCCACCTGTCCACAGGCAGGTCAGCATCACATGCCTCCTCATTGGTGTGTTGGAACCTCAGCCCCCACCCCCATCTAATCAGTCACCAACCCTCTGCAGCGTATTCCTATTCACACTGGCTCAGGTGGCCCTAGGCTGCAGACTCAAACACCTTCGGTGTCTCGGGAGGCAGAGGATGAAGCCGATACAAGGGAGTGTGGGCTGGCTGTGGCATATGTGTGCTCTGCCTACAGGGGCATTCGCATTTTTAAGGGCATTCTGGTCTTCAATTCTGCAATTCCTGACATACACTGGTATCACCTTTGGCAGTAGTGTCCTAGATTCCCCCACTTGTTCCTGCTGCTTTCCATTACTCCCTCCCTGAGCTTTGACTCAGCCAATCATTGCTCTTCTGAAATGGTTCCAGCTTCTAAATGTTCAAATACTCCCCCACCCCAACCCCTCGAAAGCTGGGCCTAATCCTGTTGAAGTGCTCTGGGCCCTCCAGGCAAATCAGGGTTTCCTCATCTCCTTGTTGGATCCCCTATGGCCCTTCCGATTGGACTCTGTCACTGTGAGTCTTGTGATTTTTGTTTGCCCACTAGATTTTAAGTTCACTGAGTCAGGATCATATCTGACACTTCTATTTCCCCACAGCCACTAAGGATGTGTTCTCACTTGGCAGAAGGTGTACAGACTGACCTTCTAAGAAAAAGATGAAGTGAATTTGAACAGCTGAAATAATCTATGGCACGATGCCAGTGTAGCAAATTAAAATATATTCACACAGCGTACATATACAGAAAGAGTGCCGTTTCTTTCCCATGAAAAAAATTGCTTATTTCCCCCAAGTAAAAATAACACATTGAAATCAGAGGATCAAAATCAGCCAGCAAGTACCAGTAAAAATATACTAAAGGATGAAGTACAGAGGGTACATCAATTATTTACTGGAATAGCTTAGGTTCCACAGACGCAATTAACATTACTTCCCTGCACCTCTCTCTATAGTAGCTGTATTGCCAACCTCAAATCTTATTCTCTCTTCTATCCTCAACAATTTTATCCCCAAATCTTTCAAAAATATTTTTAATTCCCCTTCAATGATTTAAATAGTGTCCTTTCTCAAGGGCAATACTTTGGAAATGACCAAATCCAGAAGAACTCTCTATTACAAGCCTAATAGTATGGCCAGGGGAGGGGTCTGACTTCTAACTTCCAAGGGACCCTGAGATTCTTCCATGGCTTACATGTTTTAAATAAGAACGAGATTACTTTGTGCCATTTGTGGGTCAAGGTCTTAGCTCAGCATAACATTACTGACAGTCTCTTACCATTCCAATAAAAATAATAAATATTTAGTTTCTTCACATTCAAATAAAATAACAATTTGAAACAACAGCAGAATAACGATGAATCTGATCATTTTGATTAACTTTTCAATTAGCTTTTCCATCTGTCACCAAATCTAGCTCTCCCTAAAAATATGAGAAGTTGTTCCTAAAAGCAAAAAACAATCACAGAATGTTCTGTGCTTCACACTTGTTTGTTTTGTAAAAAATTTTTAAACTGTGTAGACACTATACTGTCAGTGCTCAAATTAAGATGACTCCAGTGAAAAACACCTCCATTACAGGCAAAACATAAAAATAATTGAATTACACAGAACCAGTGGAGCTTTTGCTTAACATCTATGATGGGAAAGATGAGTCACCTAATAAGGAACCATAAATAACACTGTCCTATTTTGATGACTTCAAAACTTTTTAATAACTTACCATCTAAAAGTTTCCCATGAAATACTGCCAGACCAGCCACTCTTCCAATAAAAGTGAAATAGGACAAATGGTCTTCATTACAGAGGCCTGAATTGGGGTTGATCTGAAGTGTGTAGTTGTCCCTTGGGGGAGGAAGAGAGAGAAAAAGCCCAATCATATTTTTAAAGAAGAAACACAAAAATCTGCATCTTTCTTTGCTGCCTGTCATTAGCTTTTATGGTGCTAATGCTTTTTTTGCAGATACTCTGCTCCTGATGAGGAAAGGCATGAGCTAGAGAATGGGACATACCATTCAGTTAGCCTCTTTCTGTCACCAACGACTGAGGTCCCATGGAGCTGGTACACATGCCTTTTGTAAGTTAAACCGTAAGAGAGTTTTGATATTTGACTATTTTTGATTTACAAAAATGTCAGTTGCATATGGTTCAGCCAAGTATCTTGGGAAGGTGCAAATCACCACATAATAAAGGGACTGTGCACGGATTGCAATGATGTGAGTACTTACTTCAGGTTCTCCGAGGAGAAGGAGGATTTGTTCCTTTGAGGGGCATTTGGTTTGGAGATGAACATTTTTCCTCTGGGCCCAATGTTTGGTCTGACCACCGCTGGGCCCTGACAGCCCCAAGGGCATTGGTAACAGCAGATGGCTGTCTTAACACCATAAACCACAAAAATGTTTACATGTCCGTCTCTGGTCTCAAAATCATGAGGATCACTGGTTTTCCAATTGGGCTCCATAGACAGATTCTTTTAGGCGATCTGAGAGGTGAGGATCCTGCCCCCTTCTACCCCCCTGCCCTGCCTGCCACTTCAATGGTTGTGATCAAGTTTACATAGTGATCTTTCTCACGGGACAACAATAAACAAGCTGGGTGATTCTTGGCTAGAACAACTGGGCAGGATCCTGAGTCTGCATTCCAACAGAGCCCCAGGAGAGAGTGGGAGATGTGGAAGAATCCATGTCCCTTAGACTCTAGCAAGGCTGCCTTTTGGCAAGGCCAACACAGGTACTTGGGTTCACAGCCTGCAGGGGGAGCGGTGGCTGGTAAGCAGGCCATGTTGGAGTCCTGAGAAAACAGCTGAGTCTCTTTTAGTTTCCATGCCGGGCAATGATGAAGTCCTAATGCCCAGGGAACCTGGTTCTTCCTTACAGGACCAGGGCGCCGTCCTTTGGAGCCTGAAGAATAGGTTCTCCTCAAAGTCATCATAATTTGCCTTTAACTAGTGTTCCTTCAGAAACTATTTTTGTCCATGAGATGACAATGACTATCTGAATTCTGACATTGACAAATTCTCCTGAATTAACATAACATTACGAATGAAAATTGCCTCTTGTTCCTTACCATAAGTACTCAGCACACTTTTAATTTCAATTAAGTGAACCCAACAGACAAGAGAAAAATTGTTTTTTGGCGTTCAGAGTACATTATCTCATCAGGTAGAGTCAGAACCTGTTCTAGACTTATGGGGTATGTGGGTTGGCGGTGAAAAGGAGTGGGGACTGAAAACAGCAGTGTTAATTCATTTCAAATGAGTGAGCCACTTACTCTTTCACAAGCTGAAACTATCAAGAATAAAACTGTTTCAGTGGGACACATTCCAAATTCGCTCCATATACTTACGTTGCGGAGTATTCGAAGAGACCATAGTAGGGGTTGAACATCTCTTTGGACAGTAAGAAGAACCATTCTCTGGCCACACCCCCATAGTCGAGACCTTTCTCTGATTCAAATTCAATCCACAGTCTAGCTTTTAGGACATCTGGTCTTTTCACAGACATGATCCTCCGATAGGACTCTTCAAAAATGTTATTTCTGTGAAGTTTCATTTCAAACCTATTTGGAATATCAGCCTACACGAAAGAAAAAAAAAGCACATAATCATACACTATTAAATATGCACTTTACTTCACAGGAGAGAAACGATGGCAGTCTTCAAATAAACCAGCAGGGAAGAATGGTTCCAACTGAGTGTCCCTCCCTTATGGAGGTTTCCTTGCACAGTCAGAAAGCCTCACTGAGACACACAGCGGCCACCAGCAGCCATCAGACTGAGCCGGCAGCATGTGCTACAGAAGAAAGTCTGCTGAGCAGTCACCCTCCCCGTTTATGAACAATTGTGGGGTGCTTATCCGCCCAGCAGCAACTGAAACATGGTTAACTGTATATACTGTTTCTGTCAAAGGAAGTGACTTCAGTCCAAGCAATCAAAACCCACAACAGTCCCCACCTGGCCAGGATGGGAGCATGCTAAACTCCAGCTGGTAGGCACGGTCCACACGCTGATTCTGCTACCATGGGGAGTGGGACCCTGATGATCATGCCAAATTGTGGGAAAGCATCCCCCAGTCCATAGTTAATAAATATGAAAACAAAAAGCACTTGACAGGTTGTAACTGCTTCCTGGAAAAATGAGGGATAGGGCAGCTTTGCCATAAAACGGATTTGCAGAGTCAGTGAAAGTGCCACCGGAGTGACACAGAGTGAAGTCCCTAAAGTCACCCCTTATGACTAGGGGAATGCAGGTGACTCACCGAGAAACTGGGGATTTTATGTGTTTAAACTTGAGTCATTTCAAAAGCAGTCACCAAGAGCTAGTTGCATGAGGATGTTGGAAGGGAGGACAGAACTCCTAAGTGGGAGCTCCCGAGGCAGAGGCTGTCTCTCTCGCATCTCTATCCCCAGTGCCGCACCCAGAGCAGATGCCTCAAAAGTGAGGCTCCGACTGAGGATTAGAGCAGGAGAGACAGTGATGGAGCACAGGCAAACTGGGGAGACCTGAGTGAGGGTCTTTCCCCAGTGGGAAGAAGCCGAGAAATGGTGACACCAAACAACACAAAACATCCCAGACCCCAAACAGTGAATGCACAAATGGAGAAGAAAACTGGTAAAACCTGTATCACAGAAGTGAAATAACAAAGTAAAACGGAAAACCTATATTGAAATATTTGGGATGATATGTCAGTAGAAAATACTGTGATTTAAATCACTGCCTGTAAAAACCTTATTGGGTTTCTCAGTTTTGTAGAAATTGTATAGGGTTTCCCATTGAGAATTTTCATTTGAAAATTACACTTAGTCTTAATATACCAAATATAATCAAATATTATAAATCGTACTGTAGTAAGTATAATTAAAATTATACTTCTGAATTTAAAGGGAAGGGCTTGAACATTTTTCTAACTAGGATCTAGGTTTTATTGAATAGGATAACCATAACAACTGCATAGACTTCTCCGAATTTTTCGACTAGATCCTAAATTATTCTATTTCCCATAAAATCATTTCTATCTTTTTACATATTACATAAGAAATTACCCTTCAGGTGATTTGATATGTAATACCAGCCAATCTTCACTTACTATTTCTGTTAAAAAGAAAATTCAGGTGGAAGATCCAGGCGGATCAAAGTGCAGTAAAAAAAGGAAGTTTATATTCTTAGTACACACAGAAAAATAACAAACAAGTCGCTTGCACTGAAGTAACTTTGGTAACTTACAAAGGACTGAAATAGCATTTTTGGAAGACATGTTACTCACAGGTTTCTTTAATTTCTTCCTAAAGTAGTCATATTTCTGCTTAAATTCTCTGGAGTAAGGAACCGCCTAGAAGATAAATTTATACATGTAAATGAGGGGAAATAACACTTGCAACTTTATGTAAACTGAGCCAACATTCAGAGAACTTCATTAATCATACACCTTAAAATTCTCATTCTCCATATTATCATTGAAATTAATATGTCTATGTATATAGCACATGGGAAAGTTCTAGAAATGATTAAGGCAGCATTGAATAGGGCGGCTTTCACCCCTGAAAACAACTATGTTGATATTTAATAAGTCATTTAGGGATACGCTACATAAAATACACTTTCCAATGTGACTTCTGTCTGGATATGAGTCAGGTGTAATCTTTATTTTTCTCCTGTCATTGAGATAAGAGTTGGCTATGACATTTTAACATACAACCCCAATGACCAATGACTAATCCTGCTTTTAAAAATCTTTGGGAGGAAATATAATGAGCAGAAAAGCAACTGGACTGACATTCTGATCAAGGACTGTAAGACCAGGTAGAGAGCACTCAGGAAAAGTCTCCCATTTGGGGGTCAGAAGGTTTGCCTCTTACTATTTAGTAAGTAGTCTTGGGTGAGGGTTTCTTTACATCTTAATGCCTTATCTGTGAAGCAGAGTTACGGTATCACAGGAGTGGGCTCGGTAACTGAGCTATCATTACTCAAAAATTCTGGAATCTCTTTAGGCAAATAACATTTTAATATAGTCATTTAAATATTCTCTATTTGCTATGTTATAAAGTAGCTTACAATGGCCAGAGTCCTGACTTCAGGCTATTGAAAAGGCTTACCTTTTTTTTTTTTTAATGAAGCAGAGAAGCCTGGCTTTTGCATATACATGGACATAACTATGGCAGCCTCAAACTCAGAATGACTCATTGCTTTTTTGGCAAATAGTGTGCATTCGGGCAAGAATATTTCTGCTGATATAATTTGGGGCTAAGTTAATAAAATATACTGATCCTTAGAAAAGTGTCTCCAGACTCCAAACCTTCTACCTTCACCTTCTTATTCTTGTCCAGAAAGAGGAGAAATGAAAAACATAAGCCTCCCTCCTTTCTACTGTTTTTAAGATGATCACACAAATAACTCAGCCAAAACAAAAACATATAACCAGTCATAGCAAACACTGATCATGCCAGTGTTTTGCTTTGTAATTCAAGAGCAACAGACATCATATTGATATATCTTAAGACAATTTATACTACGAATGGTTTTAGTTTTCAACCCACTCTTTATTTGCTTTTCCACTGAACACTGGATTTGACCACATATCATATTTATTCTGGACAGTGTTTAGTCTGATGAAATCGTGTGTGAATTTTTATTCTAGGAAAGGTAGAAACTTTGTCACTATCTGGACAACTAACTACTAGTATAAGAAAAAGGAGACAATGTTGTGAAATAAGCCAATAAAGACATTATGATGTTGTTTGCTCTACCAATACTATATCGCATAACAAAAGCTTTTCTATCCAGTTTATTTATTCATTCTTTGGTGGTTCATTTGCTAATTCATTCAACAGGTATTACTTAGTCTGTGCCAGGCATTTTAGGTGCTAGAGAAATAATGGTACATCAACCAAAGGATTCTTGCCCTATTCTCTCCCGGAGATTACAAGCAATTGGGAGCAATAGGTAATAAGAAATAAGTGAATAAGTAGTGATAAACACTATAAGAAAAAAATGATAGAGTTCCCGGGAGGCTATTTTATATGAAGTGGTTAGGAAAGGCAGTTCTGAGAAAGGGATACCTGAGCAGAAACCAGTGACCAGAGGGAACAAATTTTGACAGGGACAGTGGGTGCAAAACCTTGAGAAGGCAAAGTGTTTGGTTGATGTTCTATGATTAACTGTAATAGAGGGGAAATAACCTAAAAATGGATTTCCTTTCATTATCCCCTGCCAGCTTTAGAAAACCTGACTTCTAGGACAGACTCCTGCCAGCTAGCTCCATGACAACCTCTCCTTGATGGCACTACTTCCCAGTTACGCAGAAGGATTTGAAGAGGTGAACTTTAAGGTCCTTCCATTTCTAGAAATCTACGATTCCCAGCAATTATTCTTTGTTTTGGTTCCCCCCTTGAAAATGTTAAAAAAAAGGCTTAAACATTCATCCTTGTAAAGTTCGTCTTAAAGGACAAATTTCCCATGAAATTTACTGCAAATTGCCCCTAGCCCGTGATATCTGACTTATCATTCCCTTGTCTGACTTATAACGTGGTAGGTGCTGACTAGATGTGGGTGGAAGTGAGATACTGGGATATTTCTGGCCTTTCTTCTTAAGTGGAATGATGCATGAAGGTTGAAAAATCATTATCCTCCTCCATCTAGAGGTAGTTCTGATAATGGAATAAGGAGAGGAGGTTTTTAACTCCTCCTCCTGAAAAGATCCAAATAATGTCACAGGACAAAGATGTCCCTATGTGCAGCCTCTGAACACAATTATGTGCGTCATGTATTTCTTGTTTTGGCCAAATTATTTATTCTCTTTTGAAAATATGACACCTTATTTTCTTACACATACAGTGGGGCCTTGACTTACGAGTGTCCTGACTAACGAGTTTTTTGAGATACCAGCTGTCTCTCGGCGGATTTTTTGCATTGAGTTGATAGAGTAATTTGAGTTAACAAGCTCCTTAACGAGCTCAGTCTCGGAACGAATTAAACTCGTAAGTCAAGGCCCCACTGTAATTTAATTTGTAAGATAAGCTTATTTAAAAATAATCACAGGCCCTTTTGCTCAGCATCACACATTCTTTCTCTCTTGAGCAAAATGAGAACCTGACTTAGTGTGTAAGACGGTTCTACATGTTTTCATGTCATTACTGTCCAGTTGGTTCTGGAGTCTTCTGTAGAGAAAGGCTCATGTCTGGCCTGGGGACAATGGTGAGGTTAGCACAACTGGGGCTCTAGTCCCAAGTCTGACATTTGCTGTAAGTTTTGGCAACACAATTCGCTTTCTGATCTTTTGACAAACTGGGAATAACAACATCTTCCCTATCATCCGAGAGGGTGGCTGAGAGTGTCAAAGCAGCTGATTATAAAGTTCTCAGAAAAGTACAAAGTGTCACACAAGCACAAGATAGTACTCATAAGAGCAGCAAGCATGGGGAGCACTTTACAAATGCTTTCAATGGTGATGTTTGCTATACAGACAGCGTATTGACGTACAATAATGTGTGCTGGGCGGACACAGAAAGGGTCCCCTCCCCCATAATATATATATTTTTAAAATTTGGGAAAAAGAGAAATTCTAGGTACCAGATAAACAGAAAGACTCAAAATAGAGAACTAAGTGGGCACTGGACCTAGACACAGGTGCTGGGGCTTGGGTTTCAACCCTCATGGGGGCACAGAACTTGGCCAACAGTCTGCATGACTAGGCAGTCAGAACAGAGTTCCCTGCTAAAACTTACACCTGAAAAGGGGACAAGAAAACTCTACCCACTGGCCCAGGAAAGTTGCAAGGAAGCTTACCTTCTGTCCAGGACCATAAATGGAAGAAAAAGAAAAAGAAACAGACCTGTAATAAATTCATACTCCAAGGCTACACCAAAGTGGGTATGAAATCCATAGTTATGGTAACTGGGGGTGAATGAAGCCAAGGTAAGTAGTTAACAGAAAATACAGGTCAGAACTTATAAAAGCCCCATGTGGAAAAAAAAAATGAAGATGAGCATACACACAAATTCTAAATGGAACTAGGTAATAAACTACCATTGAGGAGAGTCTACAGATATAACATCTGGGCATAGTTTATATTCCTGGGACCAGAGTTAATAGGATAATCTGAAAAAGGCTATAAAGAGGCTATTTTAAGAATGATTAAAGAGTTGGAAGTATCAATAAAAATAAAAAAATAAAGAACAGGACAGAAAAATAGCTAAAAAGACTAAGCAAATTTAAAAAGAGCAGATAGAACTTTGAGCAATTAAACAGTCACCGAAATAATAGAGAAAATGAACTGATAAAGAGATTATATAAAGAGCTTAAGAAAGACTTAACTGGAAGAGCTGAGCCCATTATATACAGCAATAAAGAGAGGCAGACATGTGAAAGCTAAGAGATAAGATAGTTGTGAAAGTGAATCAATTACCCAAAGTTACTGATACAGATATTTTGAAAGAATGTGAAAGATGCAACAAGTAAAGACATAACCGCTGAGAATTTTCCAGAATGAAGAAAAGACATGGTCCCCACACTGAAGAATCACAATGAGTTCAAGGCAGAATAAATTTTTAAAAACCCACACTTACAATACAGTAAACTTGCAGAACATCAAAGACACAGATAAAAATTCAAAATCATCAGAGAGTTACCTATAAAAAAAGATAATTGATTGGCAACTTCTCATAATTAGTTAAGAAGATCAGAAGATATGAAAAAATATCTCCAAAGATCTGAAGAAAAATAACTGTTAACCAAGAATTTTATAATGAATGAGCTAAACTATCATTTCACAGAGAGGTCAAGTAAGTCCTCTCAGACTAAGGGAGTTGACCACTCAGGCTCCCACTGAATTTGCTGTTAGAGCAGAGGTTCTCGAACTTGGGTGAACATCAAAATCCCTGGGAGGGTTTGTTAAAAGACAGATTGCTGGACCTACTCCCAAAGTTGCTAATTTTCAGTAGGTCTGGGATGGGGCCCCAAATCTGCATCTCTAACAAGTTTCTGGATGATAGTGATCTGTAGACCACACTTTGAGAATTATGAGCTAGAGGTTATATGTCATTAAGAACAAAACTTAACCTAGAAAAAAGGGGATGTAAAGATCAGTGGTGGGCAAAGAAATCTGTTTACATCTAAGTAAAATTAAGTAAGTACTGACTGCTAAAAAAAAGAAAAAAGAAAATATAAAATACTAATGAGAATTTGGAAAGTTTAAAGACAAGGTAGTTGTTTTTTAAATCCTGGATTTTTAGAGGGAGTAAGGGAAGGAGGCAGGGGGAGAGGGAGAGAGGAGCGAGGGGAGAGAGAGGAGCCAGGGAGAGGGAGAGGGAAGAGGCGGGAGGGAGAGGGAGAGAAACATTGACTGGTTGCCTACAGTAGGCGCCCTGACTGGAGATTGAACTGGCAATCTTTTGGTGTACAGGATGACACTCCAACCAACTGAGTCATCCAGCCAGGGCTAAACACAAGGTAGTTTTAAAACTCCACTGAACAATGAGAAATAGGAGTGGGAAGAATGGCACTAACGTTCCCTCAAGTCCTATATTATCCAGGAGGAGAGTAGAGAGTGATTAATTTCGACATTAAGTCAATTATGTCAGTTAAAAATTTTAATGTGAGCACTAAGAGCACTGAAATAGAAAATACAACTTCCAAGCAAGTATTAAAAAATGAAAGAAAATAAAGTGTACTCTATCAATCTAATAGAAGGTAAGAAAAGAAAAAACACAGCAAGAGACAGAAAATATGTCCTAGACAAATACTAATGGAGAGAAAATGAATGTAATGATTGATGAAGCCAGTCACCGTGGGAGTTTGACACAGCTATCTTGGTTAGATAAAACAGCCAGGAAAACAGTAGAAATCGAAATGGATAATTTGAACACCACAGGCTTGATCTAATGGTATACATATAAAGAACTGTTCTATACCCAAGAAAGACAGAACATACATTCTTTTCAAACTCAAAAGAACATTTACAAAAAATGGCCAAGCCTCCAAAGATGTATTGCATATCTGATAATCAATATTCTATATTCAATATTCTCTGACCATATGCAATACAATTAGAAGTCAATAAGAAACAGGCAAAAATTCTCCCATAGTCTTAGAAACTAAAAAGCACATTCTAAATAACTTAAAAGCCAAGGAGAAAAATCATATGGAAATGACCAAATATTTAGAATTAAATGATGACAAAAGCCAAATGTCTACACTAAGTTGATAATTACCTAAATAAACATACTCTTCTTATTGAAAGAAATGACACTAATAAGGATAAGAGTAAACCAACCTCTTTAAGTCGAGATCACTTTTGGGGCCAAATCTATCTGGATTTATGCTAGATAATTTTCAATAGTAACAAGACTACGTGCTTGACTGAATGTAGATGATCAATAAACCATAAAAAAGATCTGAAAAAGACTGAGAAATATCATGTCAAAAGTCTTCTGCTAATTGAAAACAGCTCTGTTTACTGAATTTACCTGTTGCTCATGATGGAGAAGAGAAAATGCTATTCTAACAACTTATTGTGATTACGAATAAATAAAAATGAAAGCCATGGTAGAATGGCAGGCATTTATTAAGCTCCATGGAAAAAAGTAATTGACTGTTTTAACCCAGGCATTACTAGGCATGTTGTAAAATGCAGAAAGCAGCAGAGTAAACAAAATGAACAGATCCAACAGGTAATTAAAAGATGACAGGGATCAAGTGCACTTGCATTCTAATATCATTTAAGTTTTCAAATGGACTTACCTTTATAATCAAAACATAATTTGAACTGAATCAGATCAAAGCCATGACATTAGTATTTTAAAAATACCCATTGGCCTCTTAGCTCAGTGCTCAAAATATAATAAATGTAACTTCCTCCAGTTTTTAAAAGAACCCCACATTTGCCATCTTCTGTGATTCCAGTATCTTTCCTGAAATTCCAAATCATCTCCTTGCACTCTTGTAACCACCGACACGAGGTGCTAGTACATTCCCCGCCGATGAGATGAGCGTGGCCCCCACTCTACAAGCTCACCCAGGAGCTGGATACCAAGTGTCCATTACTGCCGAGTGACCAGGGGTTCTCACTCTTCCTTATGAACACTGTGTGGCAGCATTTCAAGGGGGCAGCACCATACCTAAGGCAGAACTCGTTCTTTTCCCACCTGGTACACACGAAGGGACTATGAGAAAGTTAGTGGGTCAGCGGAGATAAAGATTCTTATCTTATCTGCCAGCTCCAGAGGTTAGCGACAACCTCCCCCAAACCTTTACAGAGTTTCAGCGCTGGAAGAGATTCAGAATACAGCTTAGATTTGGTTAGCATGCATGAACTGCCCTTGGCCTAGAGAAATGACAAAACTCTGCAAACACAGGGCTGGCTTTGCCTCATAGAGAAAGGAAGAGAGGACAATTTGATTGTTTCACTTATATTTTATTATTTTTAAAATACTTATTATTTATTTGTAATCCTCACCTGAGGATATGTTTTACTGATTTTTAGAGAGAGGGGAAGGGAGAGAGAGAGAAATAGAAACAGAGAGACAGACAGAGAGAGACATGGATGTATGAGAGAAACAGCGAGTAGGTGTCTTTCCGTACACGCCCCACCGGGGATCGAACCCACAACCTTTCAGTGTACAGGATGATGCTCCAACCAACTGAGCCACACCGGCCAGGGTTGATTGTTACACTTATAATCCATCCTTTTATAAATGAGAAAAGAAAATGTTTAGTTTAGCTACCACGATCACATCATTTTCTTTTCCTTTATAATGAAAGCCACATGAAAAGGCAAATGTAGTTGTACCTCACCAGGAAATTCCCATCAGGAGGAGATGGGAGTAATGTTACATTACTCAATTACACCAAGGTGAGCAGTAATATACAAGAAATGTGTGTTTTGATACAACCAAAATATTACACTGAAGATTCAGAACTTGAGAATACTGACCGGGCCAGTAATAGCTGGATTCTGCAGTCTTGGGTCTTCCCACTGAGTTATTTTGCTATCTGAAAATTAATATTAAAAAAATCAGCATATTAGTTGAAATCTATTCTATGTAAAAAATGTTTTAGAAATAATTATTTCTGGTTTTTCAAAAGCTGTCTAGTCCCCCAACCTGGCCCCCGAAGATAATATCTTAGTATTTCAGGGTTAGAAGAGAACGATACTCTGTATGGCAGACCTCCTATGTAATGTTTAGTTAAAAACACTCAATCAAAAACGCACAACTAAAGTAAAACCATCTATTTACACTGTTTTTGGCAAGCAATCTGCTGAAAGTTCAATTATAAACCCCTGTTCTTTCAAGGATTTATAACTTGATCTTGATATTCATTTAATTGAAAAAAGGCACAAAAAGTCTTAGTCCGCCAAAAGTTACCACACACACACATTACTTTTTCTCATTTCAAATACTTTTGCTTATGCTTATGGTCTTGAAAAACTGCTTTCAATTAAGAGTCCTACACTGATCAAATGAATAATCCATTGCATGTGTCACTCATATGCACACAACAATGGAAGCAGCCAATAAGTAAGGCAGTCCAAAAAAGGAGAATTACATACTGCAGAGGAAGATTCTAGAGAAAGGCTTCCCTTTTGGCCATGTTGGCGAGAAGTGGTTTTCTTTCTTTCTTTCAAAAGAGTCAATGTTAACAAAATTGTTCAAAGCCACCTACACCACTACTTCAACAAGAGCTGCCCTGCATCACTTGGGATTTGTGACTCTGCATAATCAAAAAGACTTTATGGATTACTGTGTGTGTGTGTGTGTGTGTGTGTGTGTGTATGTGTGTGAGTGTGTGTGTGGGGCGGGCAGAGATGAACGCACATGAAAGATAACGTGGAGGATAGACTGGGGAAGAATGAGTTCTTTCTGGAGTTTTAGGAAATCTAAGTTGATTTAAAAAAATGGGAAATTATTTGAGAAAAATACTGATTCTAATTATTTCCTGTAAACTCAAGAATAACTAATACATTTGGTTTAAATGACCATACCAGGGATTTTTCAGAGTCTGGTATTACAATTATTTTAATAGAAGCAGAGTAAAGTCTTAAAATAAAGTTACCAAAGCACATGATGATTCTAGATTTGTGTATGCTGGAAGACAATTTACATGAAATGCTTCAACTGTTCTAGAGAACCCTGATGGGTCCCTTACCTTGAAAATGGAAGATTTGGAAAGTAAAAGTTGCTACTGTGATGGAGAACAATAGAAAAGAAAACCAAATAATGGAAACATAAAAGAGCTGAGCAATAACTGCCTTGGACTATCACTGTAAGGACTGGGTATTGTCATCAAAGCAGAAAATAAATTAATAACTACCTGTACACGACAACTCCCAAATCTTCAGTCCAAACCTCAATTTCAAGCGCCACCCTTGACATCTGCATCTAGATTCCCCATAGGTACCTTCAACCCAACTCTTTAAAAATTGAACCCATAATCTTCCAACACCAAAACCGTTTATGGAATCCTGTATTCTCGATGAACAGTATCACAATCCATTCACTGTTCAAATCTGGAATCTTGACACATCCCTTTTCTTCCCTTGCCATTTACCTCTGGTGGTGACCAAACTGTCCCTACTTCTTTCTGGGTGCTCTTTTCCCTGGACCATTCTCTAGGTTTCCCTGGTCTCAGTCTTATCCCTGTTCAAAACTCTCTATATAGCTCTGCCAAAAGGATCTTTCTAAAGAACAAATCTGACCACTGTCACCTCCTCTGGAAAATCCCTCAGGAGCTCCCTCTTGCCTGCAGAAGGGACCGACACCTGGCAGACCGCCTTTAACTTGATGGGTGTGCCACCCCCGCTTTCTCTGCACACTGGCCATGGGCAACCTTGCTGCACTTCTCTGCACAGCTTCATACACCTGCACACCTTCTCTCTGCTGGAATCACTTTTCACTGGGTGTGCGTGACTAGTCTTATTCATCATTTGGAATATGTCTGAAGAGTGATCCATTCCATAAGGCCTTCCTGCAGTCTCCCCCATCGCTGGTGCCCTGTGCCACTTGGCAAGCAGGCACACTCTTTGCCTCTTCTGCTTTCACATTAACAAGGGGTTCTTTCCTCTAATACAGCATTTAATACTCCCTGGTACTCCCTGCTAGAATCTAAGTCCCTCGATGACGGGGTGTATGTTATTCCTCTCTGCAGCTTCCTCTCCACCACTTAACACATTTTCTAGCCTAATATGTAACAGGAGTCCAATATGTTATTATTTTTAATGGCCAAATGAAGCTGATGGTGATAACAAAGTTCCTTTACGGTTGGCTAAGCTCTCAGGAATATACAAGTTTCTGCGTGGTTACCATAAAGATCAATTTTGCAAGTATTGTCAAGTTTTGAACATATGGTGGCCAGTTATCCATTTTTTCCTCTAGAATTTTAAAAATCTAAACTTGCTTTGTCTTCAAGACATTTTTTCAAATAAAGGGACAAGAATGAAGTAGAAGAATGAGAAACTCAGTCAATTTAGCTACTGTTTACTGGTTTGGTAAAGGCTATGGGCAGAATAGACTCAAATAGGATTTTACAGCATCGCTAGAATTTAATTTTCTCTTCTAGTTTAGTATATAAGATATCTGTGGCCAATTCCTCAGCTGCCGGGCATGTCTGGTCTTTAAGAAGAATCACACAATTCCTAAGAGAGGCAGAGATTCCGTTCAAGATCTTCCCTTGACCTTTTGCACCAGGCTTGAGACATAGGAGCCATTCGATAAATGTCAACCAAATAAATCAAGGCGTCTAAAGAGAAGATTAGTACTGAGCATTATCTCTTCTGAGATTAAATCTTTAAGGTTGTTGAAATTATAAATCTTAAAAATGTCTAATGTCTTAAGAATTTATGAAGCAGAAAATAAATAGCATAATTATTTAAAAGAGAAGGGCATTGCTGTCCCTGTCATTCAGAGTGCAGCCACCTGTCCCAGTGATGCTGGCAGACAGGGTGGCTGAGTAACTCGCAAGGTGATCACTTTCACAGTAAATGGCACATATAAGGATGACCTGGTTTCTATCCCAAGACAGCAAAATGAGATGCTGAATTTTGGCAGAAATCAGATGTGGGAAAACTGTTTAGAAAAAGAGGTTCATTTGGAAGGTAAGGAAATTCCTCAATGTCACCACCAGGTAACTAGACCCATTTTGGAGTGTACCTATTAGGCTGATAAAGCCTCTTAAAAAGATAAGAATTCTGCATTTTTTATAAACTGGATTTTGGGGAAAAGGCAGATGAATTGAACTCTGTTTCACAAAAGCCTAAAAGATGGTGATAAGCCCCGCCCTCATGGCCAGATTCCCCAGCAATTGGCTCATCAATGTGCTTATCTAATCAGTGTGATGAGTTAAGACAATGTGAGGCTGGGGAAACCTGGTTCAGACTTACTGTTTATGAATCAAATGACAACAAGGAGCAAAATACTACCACACTGCATGTGTGATTTGAACTTTAAATCTATTTAAAGACTTCTTTTTCCTATACATTTTCAGAAGTTGTAAGGGATGTGCAAATATGGAGAACGTGTTACTTCAAGAAAGAAAAAAACTGGCTAAAAGCAAACCTTTATTAGTTTTAGTTGAAATGAGAAATCACACATTTTTCATAGGTGCTGGAGCAAATGTCTACACCAAATATATCACAATTTCAAGAAAAGAACTGCATATATATTAGTGTGTTGGGTGCAAGGAAACATGCTATGAATAGAAAATAAGTCAGAATGGGCACCTGGCCCTGAGACCGTGAAGGTGGTGTTTAAAACACACGTGTGCTACGTCAAGCACCGCACACACCCAGATTTTGGACTCAATCATCACTTCTAATCTTATTTTCTATTACCAGAGTGTATTTATTAAAAGCGCAAAAGTCAAGGGGTCATCAACCAAAAAATAGTTCTTAAATAAAAAAAAAGTTAATAGGTCACAAGATCAAATTGGGTGAAAGCTTGCTGGGCTACTTTACAGCAAACGTGGGGGGAATGCACAGTACCGTACGAGGGCACTGATTCTCTGGTACCATTCTCTCCACATAACACCTGGCTGCCTAGACAAAGCTTTCACTCTAATATTTGAAATACCCTTCCCCTCCCTTTACCTGCAATCCCTGTGTCCATAACAGTGCCTACTTACTATGATCGATATAAAATGTTCGGCCATCCAAGTGGATTCTTTCTTCCCACCCGGGCTAGTAGAGAGAGAGAGAGAGAGAGAGAGAGAGAGAGAGAGAGAGAGGGAATGCAAAAATTAGCTAGCTGTTCCAAAATCAAAGGCAAAATTATGACACCTTACTCTTCCCTCCTAGGGCACAGTTTTACATTAAGAATAAACCACAAACATTTCAAGTTAACCCTCAACAACACCTAGGAACACACTTGAAGCACACGTCCACAGTCTTGGATGCGTTCACCACTTGAGCAGGAAACAGGGATCGCTATTTCAAAAGCTTCAAATGGGAACTTTGGCATCCCATGGAACAGTTGAGTTTGGGGATGAACAGCTCATTTAATTAAACAAATATGTATTAAGTACTAAAAGGAGGAGGAGGAGGGATAATACAAAAATGTTGGAGACAGATGCTTTACTCATGTCAACACTGGTTGAAGAACTGAATACTTGCACTTCACTGTTGTGAACTCTCACTGTTCAAACTCGGGAACCAAAAAGACTTGGATAATCTTTGCAAGGGAGGGCTGGTATGCTCTCATTGTCTGAACCGCACCTACTTGCTACTTGAAACTCAGGAACCTAACAGGTCCAGACCACAGGCAATGATTTCCTTTTGAAACTCACTCTCTAGACACAGTTTGGGCTCTTTCATCTAAACCCAGAACCAGTCAGGTTTGCAGAGGGATATTTGTATAACCTAATGAATAAAGATGGAATCACAACCTCCCTAGCTTCAAATTTTGCCATAATATACCACACACCAGGCAACAGAAAAGGTTCTTATGTTTGGAAAAAAACAATAAAAAAATTCCCAGTGCTCTTCATTTAAAAATAGTATTAGAATCTTCCCTCCCCTTCCTGCCCCTGTAAGGTTATTTATTTTTAATTGGGGGTGGATCCAGGAGGATGCATGGCGAAATTTTCATTCAAAATCCAGTTTTGTAGTAAATTGCTCAATCCCATTCAGGCTCCCAAAAAGAACTGATAAAAAATTAGCTTTATAAACAGCCATCAACCAGGGAGGAAAGCTTAAAATATCTGCAGACTAAATGACTTACAAAACTTTCTGTGATTACCTATGTCTTTCTCTCCCACCATTTTTAATATTTTTGTTCCTATTCATTAAATCAGATTATGGGTTGAACTTATGGTTGCTATGTTACAAAATAAATGTGTGCTGTTTAAATTGCCATCAGTAAAAAATGCCTCCTACATCCTAGTTACAATGTCTAGCTTCCACTGACAGTTACCAATTCAGAAACCTCTTTCATATGTACTAGCTGGTTGTATGTACGATTAGAATTCAGCCATACACCTGATTCTATTAAGAAATTATAGACCAATGGGCCAAAAGTCTGGAGAAAGAGGTCACAGGGCCACTCCATCAACACTGGGCAGATAAATGAATAAACATATTCAGACTTGTCCATGTGTCTCCAGTACGTATACTCACAGGCAGAGGGCCAAGGTCATTGGGGTTTAAAGGTGCCTTCGATCGCAAATGTACTGGAAATTTCAGGCGTGGATCTTCCTGCAAGAAAAATGTAAAAGGCAGAACGTGTTAAGAGTGACGTCTGTGTGCTGTTACTGGCTCCTCCCCTTCTGGAGCTGTATGTTCCAAGGCAACCAGGAGGCATGTGCATGAGCCACACTCCTGCCTGCATGGCGGAGGGAGGGTCCCATCTTTGAACAGGAAGCCTGGCTGACCATCTCTCAAGAGACTCCATTCTTCCTCCTTGTCCTTGGTGAAAGAAGGAGAGTAAGGATATTTAAATAAAAGGTTAACATTTTCCCAAGATCTTGAGCAGGTGAAGAGGAAGAAGGACCCAGCAGTGATGTTACTATGGAAACCAGAATAAAGGGTGCCAGTGAAGAGGAGGCTCTCCTCCACAGAAGAGGGAGCGAAAGCCTGGTCTGTAAATCTCCCTATGGATCCAGAGCTGCGGGTGAGGGTGGCTAGCCTTACACACTGGAACAGCCTCTCCATAAGCACTGGAGTCCCCTGCTTCCCTCTCCCACCCCTCCCTGAACCAGAGCAGGGAATCTGAAGCTGGTCTGCCTGGCAGGTCAGGAGCGATCCCAGAGAGCGCTGGCTGGCTTCGTCATAAAGTCACATCCCTATTAGACAACTGGACTGAGGCTCTCCAGTTCTACAGATTAGATTCTCATGTATGTCTTGATATTTACAAGTTTGCAAAATATTTTTCTTAAGGAATGTGCTTAAGATAACACAGAAAATCAACAAAAGAGAAATACATAGTTGGCCATTTTGGTTCATGATTTATAATTGACAAAGTAATCAGACATACGATCTTGCAACCACATTCTTAGGAGGTGGGGTACATGATCTCTGTTTCTTTAGATGGGGAAACTGAGTTTCAGAAAGAATGAGACCTTGTCCAGAGGTTCTGACCCTGAATCTGGGAGCTGCCTCTTATATAGGCTCTGTGAAAATGCAAGGCATTTTCATATTTTAAACTCAAAAGGTTAGAAAACAAATGATAAAACTCAGAATAATAAAATGTTAATAAAATAAGCCTAAGATTTAAAAAAATCCTGTAATAAAACTTATTTTGTGACTATTAGTGGGAATGGGGTTTCCTTTGGGAGTGACAAAAATGTTCTAAAATTGATTATGGTGATAGCTGCACATCTTTGTCCAATGTTTGTCCAAAACCCATTCAATTGTACAATTTAAATGGATGAATTGATTGGTATGTGAATCATATCTCAATAAAGCCGTTAAGTTTTTTTTCCCAGTCAACAGTCTTAAAGCACTAGAATTACTGGATTATAACAAAGTGACAGAATTTTGGAATTTGCAAGAATAAGAAAATAAAACCAAGCTTTGCTTTCTGTTAGCTATAGCAAATTTTAATTGAAAAAAAAATCATGTTAGTGGTTTATGATGGATATTGACCCTGAACCTCACTAATATGCTTTTAAAAAGGATGAGTAAAAACATAAAATAGGTCCAGTATTCTGTAGATTACTGGAACACATACAGTGCGTAGATTTGGGATTTATGAAGTCCGAACAGCTGATATTCTGGGAAACATTTGTGATAGGTTCATTGTGACCAAGGAGAAACTTACAGAGCACAGAACAAAAGCTACCCACTCACGGCTAACTGTGAGCTGGCCCAGCTAATGGCACAACCACGGGGAACCTAGGGAACAGATCCCTGACCACCAAGGTTTAGAGAAAGCCCAAGGCCACTATGACATGAAAAAGGACAGGGCTTCCGATGCTACATGCCAAGCTAGCCACACCTTTGAATCCCACACACAGGCTACTGAGAAAGACAACATGTTAAAAGGTGGTGATTTAAAGGGGGGAAGAAGCTGAAATTAAAGTGCAAAGGGGGCTGGGGGCAGGGAAGTATAAAGTATAAAATAAATCCGATTTCACAGGTCTGCTATAATGGCCTCTCATGGAAACCTAGAATTCATGGAATGTGAGGACTAGAAGGCCTTAGGGGTCATATTTGATTATATCAACAAAAATAAAAATGACAGCAGCTGTACTCTCTTTAGCTCTGAAGGCTAAGTCTAGGGGCAACACTGAACCCCCTTTCTCCACTGACTCCCCTGAACAACCAAGGAGGGGGCACCCCAAGCCGATGGCGCAGGTGGAGGGCAGCCAGGGCTCCACAGGAGTTATGACAACTTCAGGGATGCCAATAGTTGGGACACTAATGAGATCTCAAATGATATAAATACAAATGAATGAAACATGAAGAGGGACACTCAACTGCTTCTCCCTGTCCTCAGCTTACTATTTCCCAGTTATTTCAGTATTCCCCATTTGCTTCCCTCAATATAGCACAAAGGGGTTTTAAAAAGAATGCAAAGATCAACACCTCTTTAAAAACCAAAATCATTTACAAATATATATATAGCACATAAAACAAGGGAATGCTCCTGGTTCAAAAAACAACAGCTTTTTCCCCCATCCTGGAAGAGATCAACAACCAGGCCTCGGCTACAATGAGTTTTCTTAGTTTAGACCCAGTAGAAAACAAACCTGAAACTTCATTAAGGCATACTCTGTCTTGCTACAAAAACAAGGCAATGCTTTGTTCTGTAAGAGACATAAACATACTCTTACATACATGCTTCGAGCTTCTTCCTTAACAGAAGGAAGGAATGGACAAACCGAAGGCCTCTTGTAACCTTTCCTCTGTCACCTGGTGGCCCCCAGCAGGCATCCATGGCCCACCCCAGGTAGGGACAAGTGAACCAATGGCTGGAAGTCTGGCCACAGGAATCCTCACATGGCCAGGGCTTAGTGCCTCTTCTAGGTGTTACTAAGGATGAGAGCACGGTGGACAGACCTTCGCTTTCAGGCTGAGGCCTCAGACGTTATTCCAGATGGACGGCGGGCACACTGCTTTAATATGAGATGGTGCTTTGTAAACAGACTTCAACAGGAACTGTCCTTCATGCGTGTACACAGGGGAAATGTTGGCCTGATCTTTTCATGCTCTGGTTTAGTGCAAGAATCAAGAGCACACAGGCTGCGTGGGGCAGGAGTACTGTTTTCATTATTCTCCACCTGTTCTACCAGCTTTTCACCATAGGGCTCAAATCTAAGAAAAGCTATGCTGGCCTCTCATTTGTTCTCTCTTTTAAAAAACGAAGCAAGCCCAGCCACTGAGGCTCAGTGGTTGAGTGTCAACCCATGAATCAGAAGATCACAGTTTGATTCCCAGTCAGGGCACATGCCCAGGTTGCAGGCTTGACCCCCAGTAGGGGGTGTGTAGAAGGCAACCAATAGATGAGTTTTATCATTGATGTTTCTAACTTTCTCTCCCTCTCCCTTCTTATCTCTGCAATCAATAAAAATTTTTTTTAAAAACAACAACAACAACAACAAAAAACCACACGAAGCAAACCTCAAACCAACTCAAGACAAATTTTAAGCTGAAAATGATCTTTTTTTTTTTTTTTTTTTTTTTTTTTTTTTTTTTTTAAATATATTTTATTGATTTTCCACAGAGAGGAAGGGAGAGAGATAGAGAGTTAGAAACATCGATGAGAGAGAAACATCATTGATGTTTCTAACTTTCTCTCCCTCTCCCTTCTTATCTCTGCAATCAATAAAAATTTTTTGGAATCGAACCCGGGACCCCTCAGTCCGCAGGCCGACGCTCTATCCACTGAGCCAAACCGGTTTTGGCATGAAAATGATCTTTACAGTTCCCTTTATTCCTCCATTTTTGGTCCAAATCAACAGGAAATTTAGAGCAACCCTTCGACAGTCAGCATTCTGTACAGGCCTTTGTTTAGAAGGAGAGACAGCAGCTGGGCCAGCCTGTCTGAGTTTAGAGAAGAAGGGGAGTAACCGGGGGGAATGTCCAGTTGTTACTTTAAGGATTTTCAACAATGGCAGCAGCAACAAAATGTTGTTTTAACAAATTAAAATTTTAAACCAGTAAATCAGTCAATAACAAGCATGTGGGTAGAAAGGGACAACTGGAAATTCAAACTGGGTTTCATTCAGCAAGGATGCAGGCAGTAAACAAAGCTGGGGCTGTTTAAAATCAAACCTGCCCAGCTGCAATTACTCTGCAGTTGTGGCGTGAAAGGCTGTGAGAAGGTTAGGGGATTTGATTACTAAGCTAGTTCAGATTTCTAAAACCATAGCTTATGTTGGCAGGCCACCGTGGCTCCATACACTAATCCATCTCCTTTTATACTATTTACCCCCTATTTCTGGAGTGCCATTCCTGGCTGAGGATTTTGTAGAATCGCGTACTCTTAGCAGGACAGCCACGTTCTATGTCAATGAGGGGAAAAAAAAGACTTAAAAACCAATCTCCCTTAGTTGGTTTTCCCCAAAGCTGCCTATCTCTTACTCTCGTCTTGGCCACAAACCTATAATATGATATGAGACTCAAAGGTGAGTCAAACAAAGCTACATGTTATTATATGCCTTTGAGGTAGTTATGAGTTTAATGAATGTCACCAGGATCTAAATGATAAATTCCCCTGGAAGACTAATTCCTTTACTTTAAAATAGAACTTTTAGAGTGGTTCTCACTAAGGGGTGCTTGCAAGCGTGTGGTAACATTTTTGGTCATCACTGTGGTGGGGGAGGGAGAGGAATGGTCATTATTCAGTGATAGGAACCAAGGATATTAAGCATCCCTCAATAAAAGGCACATAGTCCTGCCCCAAATACCGAGAACGTCCTCATGGAGATGTGCTTACCACCATCCATCCACAGGACTTGAGAGAGAGAGAGAGAGAGAGAGAGAGAGGGAGAGAGAGAGAGAGAGAGCGAGCGATATCTAGGCCCTCTAGTCCAGTCTCAAGGGACTGATTTAACATAAGGCCACGGGCAAAGTATAAATGACAGTCCAGGACATTTTGGTCCAGGCCCCTTCATTAACACAGTACTGCTGTTCTAACAATGGACACACTCGTGTCTTCATTGAAAATGGGGATTTAAAGCACGTGTTCACCTCTGATCCAAGACCAGAGAGCTAGGGCCATTGACAATCCCCAAACTCAGAGAGCTTTCCAGTCACATCGATTCTAAGCAAGCAGCAGAGAAGCCAGAAGGACTGAGTCAAACTCTGAACCCAGGCCATTAGTTGGGGACATAGGGACAGGAAGGAAAACAAACCTGCAGCTTCAGAAACAGTCAGAAACAAGAGAACTAATTTCAGTTCAGTCATAGGTCTACAGGTATTAATAGAAAAATACCCCTGACTCTTTAAAAGACAATGTGCTACATTAAAGAAGCCCACCACTGATTCAGCTAAAACCCGAACAGAGGAGTATAAAGATATGCACATTCACTTTTAATTAATCTCATATTGTATAAATTCATACAACACACGGATTCTTTATCAGGCACGACTCCTGAGTCAAATTTGACAAAATGTTCACAAAAAAGAACTATCACATTTACAACCAAAATCCTCAGTACATCTCCTACTCCACAGTTAAAGGTGTGAAATGGAGCACAGAAATGTAAAACACTAAAATAAAATACTAAACTGAGGTGGACGGTGCAAACGAAAGGGACAAATCAAACAAGGATGGGTGATGTTAATAAAAATGTAGAAAGAAACTGACAAGGAAAAATTATTTTCAGAAAGATCAGAATTCCTATTACACCATCTTGAGAGGTGAAGCAGTATCATCGACATCCTAGCAATATAGAGCATCGCTTTTCCCCCAAATATGGCCAACTGTCAAAACTATAGCTGTCCAGGAATGTTCTGGAGAAAAGGCATCCAACCTGGCACCAGCAGCTGGCCCTGACCCTGCACCCATCCATCACCCCTCCCACAAGCCCCTGCGTGCCAGATCTTGAAGCAGGCTGAGAAGACCCTCTAGGGACAAGCTGCGGTGTCAGTGAAATTTCTCTACAAGAATCATGAGTACGGAGTGAGGAAATGAGGGAATGAATGTCAGACCTCATGATGGAAACGGAGCCAAATAAAAGCAGCGACCTTACCCATGTTGTAGTCTTTGTGTTATGGTCAATGAAGAAGGGCCGGCCGTTCGGCGCGATCCTCATTTCCCAGCCCGGTGGCAGGAAGCTCTGTGTGACTTTGTGTTGTGGTTTGGGGGAGTTGTAAGGTGATGGCTGTGGGGACTGTGGATTGGAAAGGGTATCTTTCACAGCCCGACGTATGGGTGAATCCTTGGCACCCTAAGGAATAATAATGAGCATTAGAACTCTTACAGGTGCTAGTCCAGTGTGTCAAAATGTACCTGGGTATCACGAATGTTCCATTTGGAAAGGGACAAGGGGAAGCTCCTAAGAAATCTGTTTCTGTCATTTGCTTACTTTTAAATCAATCGAATTTTAAAGTTTTTCTATTGATTAAACACACAACATTAATTACTTAAAATCACCATCCTTTGATAGCTATTGGATATATGCCAAAAATATTATGCTCCACTGAGAATTATGGATGGAGACTTTACAGAGGGTGGAGAGAGACGTGCCCCTGCTCTTAATGAGCTCACAGTCTAATGAAGAATGGATTGGCAATTTGCAGAGCATAAGAAGAAACCCCTGTATCATCAAAGACAACCACCTGGACTCGTATGGTTACCAGGACATTTGTATCACAGTTTGGAAGAGAGCTATCATTCATTCCCACTCATTAGCATTTAAGCCCAGGGCACAGAGAGTACCACAGCTACCTCTAGGACATCGTCAAGTTTAGAACTTGAACGTTTGTGCTCTGGCTTCTCCAACTCTCTGACGCGGTGATGCTAAGGCATGGTATTCAGACCACACAAACAGGAGAGCAATGCAGATGCATAGCAATGACTTAGGGATGCATATATGCATCAGAAACATGTATGCCCATACAATGACAGACCCTACAGTCCAAAGGAAAAGAAATGGTCAAAGCCACAGCTATCGTTTAAAACTTAATATAAGCATTGCTATCTGAAAGAGTTATTATGCATGTCTAATGAGGTAACAGGCAAGAAGGGGCGAAACAACAAGAATGGAGAAAGTTCTGAAGAGAGGAACCCACATGTACAGCACAAGTCACTATGGCCTCAGCCCCATGAGAATGAGAATCAGGCGAGAGTCCAAGGATGTGAGCTGGGCGCAACAGAGAAGCATATACTGAGGCTGCACAAGAACACCCTTCACCACGAACACAATGATCAGACAGGAAGGTGGCTGCGAAACTGAAGTCCAAGTTAAGAGAAAAGAGAGAATGAGAAGTCACAGGACAGACGTGACCCCAATTACACTGAGTAGCCTTCTCACCTCCAGTGGGGCAGATAAAGTTACTGTTGGCGAACTGAGGCTACGAGGCCGGCGGATCTGAGGCTCGATTAGATGGTTGTTACTGTTTGTGGCAGATCCAGATGCACCATCTTCTGCAAGCTATGTTGGAGCAAAAACAAGTTAGCTTTATGTGAGGATCTCCCTTTGTGTGTGGTTGGGAGTGTGGACCCAAACAACAACACAGCCAGCAGTAATGAGAGGTCTGGCCTATTTAAAGCATGGAGGAATGATTAAACATAATAATGGGGGAGGGGAAGGTTGGGGAAACACATTCAAGGGAAATAAAAATGAATCACTAGCCAGGCATGAAAACGAGTCTCAGGAAAAAAGGGGGTGGGGGTTGGGAGAGACACTACACACTGCTATAGGCTCTTAACTTTGAAAATATCTTTCACATGACATTTAAAAATATATATATCTGGGGATAGAGTGACTTGGGGACCAAATTCTTCCATAGGCATATATTATACTTAACACATTTTCTTTGTGGAAAAATTTTTTTCTAAAACATGGGTTCTCAGGACAATACATAAACAATAGCAGCATGGAGCTCTTGTACATTTTGGCTTCACCTGCCTGCAATTTTTAGTTGTGCGGCGATCTGCATACCTGCATGATAGGCCGAGTCCAAGTGGTGGTTCGATTGTTATGATTGACATAGTATGTGCGTCCCTTAGCATCCTTCCTTTCTTCCCAGCCTGAAGGTAGGCCCGGCGTGGTGTGCACGTAGGCCACTGATGGCTGTTTGTGTAAGAAATCATCATTATTTAGTGCAGTTGTTTTCTGATCACTTTAATAAAGTAATGTACACTTAGAGAATTATTTTTTTTCTAGACAAAGTAAGTTAACTCTATTTGTACCCAAAACACTAGTGTCCAGAAAACAGAAGTAGATTTCCAGTAGCTTCAAATCCACTGCGAAATGAATCTCTGTGGAGTCCAAAATCTTACAGAACGCGTTCTTAATGTCTGAAGTCTTAAATGCAATGGCTGCTGCTAATGTGCTAAGAGAAAAAAACAGCAACCTGTTTCAGATACTAAATTTTACCAAATTATGTAGAACTTAAAGGTATTTCAAATTGTCAAATGTCACTGTCTATGAGAGGAATGTCTGCATAGTTTCCTCTCGATATAGTTGCCACAGGGATACTCTCCTAGCTTATTCCTAAATTCTTCATCAGCTTAGGGCCCTTACATTGTATCTTTTAGGGGGAAAAGTACACAGAGGGCCTTCTCCAGGAGGTCTGCATTCCCACCAGTGGCATATAACCAAGAGGACCGACTAGGACACCCCAACTGCCCCAGCTTAGGAAGCCTCCTGGTGAGCTGAGGCTGTATTATCCTGTCTGCCCATGCAGAGCTTGTCTCTAAGGGTGAAGGAAGCACAGGCAGTTTCCAGGTTTAGAAACATGTCCAGTATAGAGTGACTATATTTAGATAGTCCAAATTAGATCGAAAAGGATTCCTGAGACACTTCTGCTGGTAAGCAGCAGCCTGAGAAATGTAGCCGGGTGGAGAACTCTGGAATAACAAGGATGTTTCAGTGACTCAAGGAGGCACCGAGATGGACATCTGAGGTCAGTGCTGTCTCAGGAGGAAGTCCTGGATGTATGGTGGCTGCATATCAGATCTGTCACTGGGAAAGGGGTGTTACTCTAAGGAGTGGGGGCGGCTCAGATATAAGAAGCCAACCATGGCTATCCAGGCTCCCAGGAGAACGTAAAAGAAGAGGCTAAACATTATTTGGGATATAAAAGGAAGCCACGTCTTTCTGGGTACCATCTCCCCTAATTAGGATCTTCTCACCCTCCAGATGTTTTACCAGCTGTCATTTTCTTGATATTAGGCTGAAAATGTAAATCTCTTGGCCCAGCTTCTCCCTGTGCTCATCCCATCTTTCGTGTCTCCTACCAACAATGTGCTGTGGCAGAGAGGGTCACATCAGAGGATCCCCAGTCCACTGCATGACCCTGGGTTAGCACGATCAAGGATGCTACCACGTCATTGGGGACTTTAGTTAATGAGGCTCCATATTCTACTTCCTGAGCTCAACTGCACATTCCAGAGAAAAACTAACTGAGGCCATGGAACAGCTGCCTCAATGGTTATTTCTAAAACATGTTGAACAGGCAAGGCAACATTATTGGCAACAAAACTTTCTTCTAAACCTATACCAACTACTTCCTTGACATTTTCCCAGATAAAAACTGAAATACCTCATCATGGTTAATTCCAAGACTCTGATCATAGAGCATCCTGGACCTACGTGTGGGGATTCAACAAGCGTGGAAGAAACACCAACAGGCAGACTTGATCCATCCATGGGTACTTAAGTCAGATGAATTTATATAGCCTGAAGCTCTTTCCGCCTTCCTCCTCTAGCACCAACAGAAAAGAACTATTGCCGGTCTATTTTTTATCTATAAAAGACCGACTCTGCCAAACCAAGTTAGAACCCAAGTTGTATCCTAAGTTAGTGGTAAATTGGACTGTGTGGCAAAGTATGTGCTATCAACAAGCGTTGACCTACTATTGCTCACATGAGGACCAAAAATGCTTGGGCTAAATGAAGTACTGAATGGAATTTGTTGCTTTTCTTGCTCCCCGTTATTTTTGGGGAGAGGCAATGAGATAGGCCCTGAGAAAACTCCGTTCTGGAAATCTTAAGGATAGTTTTGCAGTTATAACATCTCTGGAAAGGATATTTGTGAGGGGTCTGATAACTAGTATAGCTTGGCTGTGTCCTGGATAATCTCAGAATTACTTCTAAGACTGTATGACTTCCAGCACAGTATTCCAGCAACGAGGATATTTTCGTAGATCTACAGTGAATAGGACTAATCAGATTATGGGAAATTAGGAGTGTAGTAGAGAACACTGAATTTGATTAAAATGTTCATTGTACCTTCTACTGAGAACTGAACTGGTAATCCTTAATTTAGTTCCATTAAAAAGAGATGGTGCCATAAAAATGTTCTCCTTATAGATTTCTTGACCATGGAGAACAGCCTGTGATGGTGATTCCATTTGTGACTCAAAACCTCTCACTCAGAGCTAGGGAGGGGCAGGACACAGCTTCCACGGACAGACCACAGAAGGGGCTAGCCCTGAGCCAAAATCAGACTTCCACTGTCGTGTGTGTGCATACACATATGCACTCACGTGCATTCCATTCTACCTTAAGAAACAGTTAATTAGTCCAGGGACACGTTAAAACTGCTAGTAAGCTTAATTAACATTTCACAGCTTTTCACCTGAATATACTATTGTGTTACATAACACCAAACAGCTGTTGCGCTACAGCTGCATAGTGGCTCCAATTATTTCATTAAAAGGGAGAATCAATTATGTTTAAACCATCAAAGTTCAAATAGGCTTTTCCAGATGATAAATGTTTGGCACTATCACCGATGCCCCCAGATTCCCTCAAACCCTGCCATTCCCGTCACTTTTATTTTAGGGTCTACACAGCAAAGAGCAAAAAGACTGTGCTGTCCCTCTTGCTTCATCTCAGAGAGGGCTCCTGCTTAGCTCCCTGGAAAGTGTACTTATTGGTGGTAAATGAAAGGATTGTAGTTCTGCAGGTGAGAATCAGGATCTGTTTTTATACTATAGAAATAAAAGCACTACCAAGGAAAGACCAGGATGATTCATGCAACATGGTGTGCAGGACAAATACGGGTGGGGCAAGGGGCTGAATGCTCACCAATGTGGGAAGATTATATAAACTGGTGCATTTGCATGACTGAAAATTATGTAATCATTAACATGTCCCAGAAGAACGACCGTAAGTGAAAAATATCAAGTTGCTAAGTGAAATGTACATGAGATCCCATTTGCGCACACACATGTATTTGTGAGAGGGGAACACAGCTCCAGTGTAAGCATGTACACTTCTGTGTGGGGCTGACAGGGAGAGGGTTGGGAGAGGGTGTAAGAGGGAATGAAACTTGCTAGGAGATGGAACTGGAAAAGAGAAAGTAAAGGGCACTGGAGACAAGGGATAATGATGATGGAAAAGAAACAAATGTGATACTGTCAAACCTACTGAGACTTCGAATGTGGCCATAAAATTAGTTGGCTTATTGCAACCAAAAGATGACCAGGTACATAGGAAGCATGAGAGTAGGAACTACTTCTACGGCCCAATTCTTTAAAATAAAAAACAAACTTGTATTTTTTATTCATTGGTGGGGGAAGGGAGAGTACTGGCAAGAGGGCCGTGGTAATGGCCACAGGAACCGCTCTGACCACGGAGCCCAGCGCTCTCACAACTAGTCTATCCCACCATTTAATATCACAGCGACCACACACTCCAATACTAACAGCAGCTTCCAAGACCAATAAAATGCAAATGTGGATGGAAGAGGATACTCATTAGCACTAAATTCTACTAAAATTATTTCATGAAATGTTCTCATCCACCTTGCAGCTCTACTGCCATAGAAATTTCCAGTACACAGTAGGCAATGTGCCACTTCATTTGAAGGTTCATGTCTTCTACTGGAAGCTGAGCCTGGCCTACCCAACACATGACTTTTTGCGGCTCAATAGGTTAAATGAGGCTGATTTTTTGCTGATTGCAAATTTGACTTTCCTGTGTACAATGCTGAGCATTAAATTCTAACAACATAACTAAATTGTTCATTAAAAATCATCAACATTCTTCAGAAAATCTGCAATTGTATATGTATTTAAAGGTGTTCTCAAGTAATAAGCAGTTATAACAAACATAAGGTGAAACAATAAGGAAAATTCTTTAAATAGCCATAGCAGCTCTAAACATAAACTATAAGCTAGCCTGTCTTCAGGGATCAAATAAAAAACAGACAATTAAAGTACATAGTCAAATCCATTATTTAAAATAACGAATAATAACAATAACAGATACTTGGCTTAGAGAAACACCATTATTTCTAAATCTTTCAAATTATTAAACATGCCCCCCTCCCTCCCATCCCCCAAGTAGTATATAAACATCTGTTTATTCCTGTGAGGAGAGTCACTGGTTCAAGCTCATGATACGGAAAATCTAACTCAGTGTTTAAAACGTGGGGCAGAAAACACACAGGAGATAGCTACTATGCCCAACTGAAAATCCACTTGTGCAACTGCTCCTCAGGCTTGAATCACACAAGTGAGTACGTTTATTGATTTCAGAGAGGAAGGGAGAGGAAGAGATAGAAACATCAATGATGAGAGAGGGGCCAAAAATGTATTCTTAATGGTCAAATTAAATGGACTTAAAGCTTGACAGTCTTCCTGATAAAACTATACGAGACTAGCCGGACTGGTGTGGTTCAGTGGTTGAGTATCGATCCAGGAACTAGGAAGTCAGAGTTCGATTCCTGGTCAGGGCACATGCCAGGGTTACAGGCTCGATCCCCATTAGGGGGTGTGCAGGAGGCAGCCAATCAATGATTCTCTTTCATCACTGATGTTTCTCTCTCTCTCCCCCCCTCCTTTCCTCTCTGAAATCAATAAAAATATATTTTAAAAAAAGAACGATGTGCATCTCTGTAGCACAAAAAAGTCAATATCCCCCCCCCCAAAAAAAAAGAAGAAAAAAGGAGCATATTCACTATTATACAAAATATTAAAACCAACCCACAGTTTTGCTGTTAAAGTCTGATCAAGGGTATCATTACCGTTGGCTCCTCACCACCTGTGACAGTTGATGAACGCGCTCTCCTAGTTGGGGCACTGGGCTGTTAAATGATAATTTATATCAGTGAAAGGCACTTAAAGAGACCACCCGTTGTTTACTGGATCAGGAATCACTGCTGTGGCAGCCAGTGAGGCAGGTGACATGAATCAGAATCCTTGAAACCCTTTCTGTCCAAGTAAAGTTGAGCGATCACTGATGACCAGAGGAGCAAGGACCCAGTCAACCTCCAATCTACAGAAGCCTCAGGCTGCAGCCTCGATTTGGCCGAACAATGAATTGACAACCTCAATAACAATGATGAGATGTCTTGTTGGGAAAAGAAATTGAACACCACTGTGGTTTTGCCCCCACTGTTAAATAATGAGCAGGTTCTTAAATCTGCCACACTCAAAATTCAAGAGGCCACTGGTGATCAGTGAGTTTTCAGCTTTGGAGAGTGTAAGGGAGGAGTCATCCGTTTCCAGGAAAAGAGACTCTTTGGCAAATAAAATTAACATTGATTGTGAAAAGGAGAGGAAGTGCCATTAATTCATCAAGGAAAATCACAGAATCATTAGGCGGAGGATCACATCAGCCCATCACAGCTGATTGTTGTTTTGGGGGAGATCTGAACTGAAACCATCCCAGAAAGGACGCTCTTGTCAAGCTTATCAACCAGCACATTGGATACAAGGCACAAACGAATCCCTTATTTTGACCACTCAGTTGACTAATGTACTCATTCATTCATTTTGCAGCATAAAAGATAAAAGCAAGGCAAAAAAAATCCTTCTGACTTGTGCAAAGGTGTACACAATTGGGAAGACACTGTGCTTTCAAAATCTGTAAGTGCACTTTCCCCCCATAATAAAGTATTAGTGCTAAAAATGATTGAGGATTCGTCGTCATAAAAAACTGGTTATGGTCAAACATCACATTGGACATGCTAAAATAAAAGCACATCGTTTCTCCCCCCAAAAGAAGAAACAAAGTCGCATCACGTTTCTTATCTTGGACATGTACACCAAACATCTCCCTAGGCAGTTCTGGTCTGCCTTCCAATTGGCATATTCATTTTCATTTATGTCCTATATTATTAAACATTGCCACTCTCCCATATTTGCTGCTAACTATAGAAACTGTGGGAGAGTAGGAACTAGTTGTAGCTAATTCTTTAGCCAGTAGAGCTGCCTTTAAGGAGAAGGTACAGAGGCTGTGTGGGGTTAATTAGGTCGTCATGGAAAGCCTACCTCGCTCACACCTGGAAGAGTTCTTCCTGTTTAAAAGGATTCAGTATGTTCTTAACACTCCGGTGTGGGGTGAATTTCCCGCCAAAATATAAGATGGCTCTGTCTTTTGGTTTTGTTCCATCCACCAAAAGGGTGGATTACAAACAAATATTTGGTAATACGCAGTTACAATCGGCCCGAGTTTACACGTTTCCCGCACTCCACCGCAAATCTATATGAACCGAGTTAAAGACGGCTCCCGCGGAGTACGCGCAATTCACGCGAGCGGACTTAACTCGTTTCCCGCAATCCAAGTGTTAAATACAATCACCAGAGCACAGCTTGAGGGACTAAATTCAATCTTTTTAAAAATTAGTTAATGTATGCTTTAAGTGAGCACATCAGAATTGGTATTAATTTGGGTGAAAAACTAAGCAATGGAGTTTTTACCATTTTAGAGACTTTGGTGGCAAAAACAAGTCTTTGTATTGGAAATCCACTCTCCTTGGGCAATTTGCTAGGAAATTTGAGTGTCTCATTTATATTGTAAATGGATTTGCACAGGAAAAACTCTTCCTCAGTGCCCCAATGATTTTAAATAAAAGCTGAAAGAGCCAACTGGGGAAGGGAAATGCGCGTGGGTTACCGGTGGTAGGTGAGCCTGCTCCGCGACCGCATCGGTGACACTGCACGACCTCAACCTCGAGGAGGGCTCCCTCTGCTGGAGGGGAGGAAAGGACACGGAGCGTCAAGAAAACATTCTTAGAAAAAGTTTCATTGGCTCACAAAATACACCACTTGGTTCTATTCACAGCACTATGATAATGGAAGGCAATTAAATGAAACATCATCTTTTCAGGGTAATGAGAGTAGTCCTTTCAGGAGTCAAGTTATCTGCAGTTGTTTTCATTCTCAGTGATTTAAGCAGACTGGGGTTTTGATTAGTCCTTAGTTAGAAATAACAGCAAAAAAATAAGGGAACAAGGTCAAAGCATGAAAGGGGGCTCAACAGGCCACCATAACACTCTAGGGTTGCTTGAAAAATAGAAATTGAAACTGGAAATCTTATCATTTGTTTTGGGATGCATCCTATAGAAAGGAATATTGAGATATGATTATTAAACATTTATTGACTATTATTATCATTGATAAAGAACCAATTGGATTCTATATCCAAGGAAACTCAAATATAATTTTGTGCTACTTCTGAAGGGTCAGGTATTTACAATTTTGGCTTCTCAATGGAGTTAAAGTCACACAGATAAGGAATGAGGGGAAATAGTGAGGCTAACCTAGTAAATCAAATGTGTAATGTATAATGTTCCTCTTGTTTGCTTCACCTATGTAGTTTTAAAAAGAGCCTAACAAATCCAATCAGAGAACACAGCAGGTGACACATACAAAAGCCAGGGTCTAATCAGCAACAGGTTCATCCAGGGGTCACGTTTGATATTTTGCAGTAACTAAAATGCGATAAGGTCAAAGAAAGACTTTGGGGCAGGGAAGGGGGTGGGGGACTATCCACATCTTTCTACAGTAGTTGCTGCTATTGTTCTGGAATACAGTGACCCTGAGAAAAACTGGAGAAGAGTCCCATATTCTTCTCTTTCTTAGGCACCTTTATTTAATACTTGAACCAGACTCAACAATCTTAAAATAATTCTGACATGTGCACTTGGATGTTAAAGGTATTTTATATAGCTTTAATAAATAAATGCAGGAGCTCCTTATACAAATAATTAGAGATGTTAACTTAATATTAATGCTGAAGAATATTATGATTTTTCACTTGGTAGACCAAAGGTATATAATTGCTATAATTATTGCAATACTTCCTTTAATAGGTTTTAAATATATGGCTTCATTGCTTATATTGTTTCCATAGCAACAGTTTTACCAATTCAAATGTCCTATATATGTAAACTCCTTTTTTCCCTGCCCCCTTAGTACTAAATTTTCATCTCATTGATATTTCTTTCTGAAAACCATTAATAGACTTTTAATATAAAACCACATTAAATAATCATTGCATCTCACACAAATTGGGCAATGGTGTCTGTTAAAATAAAAACACCATAACTGAATAAGGAGCAATTTTGTGAGTATTTGCTTTTACATATCATGCAGTCCTACCCATTTACATTTTATATGATCGCAATAATGCCTATTTTTTTTTAGGTGCCATTTTCAGTGACATCACTCCCATCTTTACTATAGAACAGCTTTAAGTTCAATTTCTCAAGAAACTGAGACTGCATTTATTCTCAGTTTAAAGCTCAAGCAGGAATTTTGTATGGGCTTTTTCTGCAGTTTTATACTGTCAAATACAGAGTTCTTCAAGGCTGATTCTGCTGCTTACCAGGGCTCAGCCCCATCTGAAGCTTCTAGAAAGAGTGTCCTTAATTGTTGAGAATGCCAATTCAAATGTTACTACCCTGATGTCAGTGTCCCAATTCCACAACCCTTCTTAAGGACTGGTTTTCTGGGACGTAAATGTTTTCTATCTCCTATTTGAACTTTGTCTTGGATGGGTCCCTTAAAGACTATGCCTACATCTCTAAAATGAGTATGATTTAAGAGGACTGATTGGGAGGCCCAATATCTTCTCCATGTCCCCAATGCAAAAAGCCACCTTTGTGGTGAGAGTACTATGTATGAGCCTTTGGCTAGGAGGAGAAATTCTACATGGTTAAAGCTGAGAATTACGGAAGTCATGAACTCTTATTTTCTTGAATTCTTTTTAAATCAAGAAAGATTCTCACCTGCGTGGCCAATTTTGGTATAGTCCTCCTTCTCCTAGGTTAGGAGGAACTTAGGAAAATGTCAGAATTATCTGGGAGCTAGAAGACCCTTGGTCATTATTTGCATACAAGACTCTCTTAAAGCAACAACAAAAAAAAAATGACAAAATATTTGTTTAACTTCTCATTCAAACAGGACGATTACTCACAATCAAAGAACCAAACTGCTCCCCATTGGAGTCCGTAGTGAACTGAAGCCTTCTGTTTAGTTCTTCAGACAGCTCTTGAGGGCTGGTCCGAGAGGATGGGGAGGAAGGTGGTGGGGGCAGCGGCAGACTGAGGGAGGAGTCTCCAGTGATAGCTGCTTCTTCTGAAATGGTCTCCCAAGGCTACCAATGGATGAGATGCAGAGGTAAATGCTAGGAAGGAGGAATCCCCAACAATAACCATTATCATAACTATAATTAACATTTACTAAGCATGTAGGAGGCAAATAATCTTCTCAAGAACCACGAGAAAGATATGACTACAACCCTAATTAGGAGGTGAGGATACTGAGGCACAGAGGGGGACTTGCCCAAGGTAATAGAGCTATGAAGTGGCAGGACCAGGTCTTGAACCAAGGAAGCCAGATTCCATGGGCTGTGCTCTTAACCACTTTATAATACCACCTCTCTGAGCTGTGACTGACCTCTAGCTCTCATTACTAAATGCATGGGTTAAAAAATAATCTCAGGAATTCATTGATAACTTCCATGGAGTTCCTTTCACTCTAACTTCTCAGGATTCACAATGAAAACAGCATAGATGCTATAATCTGTAATTAAACAATGTTGTAAAGTACCTTTCAGTAAATTTTTTACGGAATCAATTTGGCTTTTCAATTTTTGATCACTGGAGCATTTTGTAAATGATCTTCCTGAGGTAATACCTTTAATGGATTTCTAGTAAGTAAACAGAGCTATTAAGGCAGCATGGAAGTTATGATAATTGTTCATTTGTTCTTCAATTCATAACTTCCCCCACCCCAGTAATTTACCATTAATATTTCAGGGGCAAATTATAAACAGTGCCATTCACCCAAATTTGTATTTCCTTGGTAATACATCTCTTTTGTGATGTCAAAAGTACTAGTATTCAGTAACAGCTTGTACTTGGTACCCAAACAAGTTATAGGGCTCACCCAATTGCAATTATGGAGTAAAAAAATCTTAAGATCCCCAATACGCCATTCTTTTGTAATAATATAGATACATGCATTCATCAAACATGGTTTTTATGAGCACTTTCTAAATTAATATCTCGATGGTTGTCAATTAGCTATGAGACCATTAGACAGCTTTTATGGAGAAAGAAAATCACAGCATAGAATCAAGCTGGGGACACGGAGAGGAGGGGGTGCAGAGTCTGGGGCAGCGGGACGCAGTACCTCGGGGCCCTCTCCGCCCTCGGAGGGCTCGGGCTCCAGGTCCTCGCTGATGTGCCGGCGGGAGCGGAAGCGCCGGTGGGCCGCCTCCTGGTTGATCTGCCGGATGTTGCTGTCCGCCTCGGAGGACACATCCCTGAGGGCAGGGGGTGGAGAGAGCAGACCCCATATTGATAAGTGGCCCCTCAACAAGAGTCCAACACTCACCAAGGGCCTGGCACCTACTAAAATGACAGTGCACTTATGTTCAACAAGCTGACAATGAGAATTCTTCCACCATATTTTGGGGGCTTTTAGAGTAGAAGTTTAAATGTCAAAATGTTTCTCAGAGAAAACTCACACAGACTCCTTTGATAAGACACCATATTCAGTTGACAAAAATGATGTCACAAGTTAATATTTCAAAATATTTGAAAACATTATTTAAACTAATTGAAATATAGTATTAAACCGGGGCCCTTGTTACAGATTTTCCTAAAACATAGGTTTTAAACATTCAAACAAACAAATACTGCATTCCAATAAAGAGCCTGTGGGGCGCCTGAATAGTAAAAAGCTTGGAACTAACAGCCTTGTATGCAAATAAATAGGTAACTCTTGAAATGGTTCAAGTCCTTCAAATAGACATCTTTACACAATTAGCCCTTTGCACTCCGCTGTCCCCTCTCAGGGGACATTGGAATTCTAGCATATCACTCGGATGTCCCCTCTCAGGGGACATTGCAGTTTATTAGTGATTACGGGGAATTGAGTTATTTCAACGCAACTTTTTGAGACATGCATGTTTCCCTGAAGTTTTATCTTGAAATGGCACAAGAAATTAAATCAAAATATCGTAAAATTACTAAGATATATACAAGAAATGTCAGCGGGTTTTGTGTCGGATTAAACAATAAACTACATATTCCCGATGTGGGACAAAGAAAACGGGACTGCATTGTGTGTTCTAACAGGAAAACACCTGGTGGCAGGCGTCAAACCACTTATTACTGTCAAACATGCACTAATCAGCCTGCAATGCATATTGGGGAGTGTTACAAAACTTATCATACTGTACAAAATTATAAACAATAAAATATTGTTTTTTTTGCAAATATACATTCCTCGATGTCACCCAATTCATATAAGTCCAATATCATTATAATACGTTACTTGGTTCCAAAATTATACTAAATAATATGAGGGTCTGTAAATGCACGTTTCCGCCGCAAAGTAGCGTCGAGTAGCTGGTAGCCAATGTCCAGAATGGTTTGGAGTGCAAAGGGTTAGTTTTACTGGTAAAGGGGGTAAGATGAAGGTTAGCTTTCATTTAATCCATATTAAAATGATAATTTATTATGAAAATCTGAATTAAGTTTTACTGTATCTGCACATCCAATACACAAACTTTTGAACTCTAACAGAAATATATCCTGCATATTTTATAGTAATACTAGAGGCCTGGTGCATGATATTCGTGCTCTGGGGGGGGGGGTGGGCGGCGTGGGGGTTCCTTCAGCCTGGCCTGCGCCCTCTCGCAGTCTGGGACCCCTCGCTTCTTACCATCTGCCTGCTCACTGCTCCTTAGTGCTGCCACGGGGGCAGGAGAGGCTCCTGCCACCGCCCGCTGCTCTTGCCAGCCTTGAGCTCGGCTTCTGGCTGAGCAGTGCTCCCCCTGTGGGAGCGCACTGACCACCAGGGGGCAGCTCCTGCATTGAGCGTCTGCCCCCTGGTGGTGGTAAGTGCGCATCATAGCGACTGGCCATTTTGGTTGTTCGGCTGAAATGGTCGCTTAGGCTTTTATTATATAGATTAAAGCATAACTAAACTAAAAACAGGACACTAAATGGAGATACCTTCAGAAAAACGGACAACTATGGCCATAAATAAAATAATTACAATCAAGGGATACCCAAGTATTCTAATAAAATTTCTGAAACCACCAAAACAGAATGATAAAAATAACACTATGGGATATATTAGAAAATGTAATATTGCTTTTTGTGATTTCATGTTACTACAGTCATTTTTATACGGCATTCATTTCTTAAGCAAACAATGCTTATCGAAAGTAATTATAAGGCATTACAAAGCTCACAAAAAGTAGGTCAGAATGATCAAAATACCTTAATAAAATGTGTAAAATATTTCAGTAGTGTCTAAGAAGGCAAAGGAAACTTTACATTGTCCTCTTTCACTTTTTATTGAAGATGAAAGCAATATCACTTTATAATGACTGGCTTTCCTTAAAAATATTTTACAAATAAGAGTTTCATTAAAATTTGAAATCTTCACTTGAAATATCAGTCATCATTTATTCAGTCAACAGAGAGACTAATGTTTGCATGCTACATGTGCCAGGCCCTAACACATACTTGAATTGTTACAGGGACTTCTGAGAGGTTGAAAAGAATAAGGTTTTCATTACTCTCTCTGCATTTTGTATCTCTCAGAAGTATATACAAAAGTCCATTATTTTGGAAAAACTGGTGTGTTGTTTTTTTTAAAAGGGCATTTAAAATCAATTATGCCAATCTTCCTTACCCAACATGCTCAAATAATTAGTAATCTGTGTGAACCAGAAACAACTAAATAGCATAAAGAAGCCAGATACCTCCGATTTTGAAATTCCAAACATGGGCTTTTATGGTCTTTTAGTGCCAAAATGAAAATGTTCACACCATGGTATTTAATTAACTGAATGAGAGGGTTTGGAACAGAAGTTGTTGAAACTGACTGGAAGTATAAATGGTCACTAATGGCCAGATAAACATGTAAAATATTCCTAATCTGACAAACTAAAACAGAAAAATGGTTTTACCTGGGGCCAGAAAAAATTTAAGGAATGGCTATTTCAATTTTCATCAGTCATTAATTTCACATATGTATTCTTCAATTAACTTTCATGGAAAATGTACAAATGAATAAAGACAAGTTCAGTGCCAATTAAGATCAGTGTGCCAAATCATTTACATTCACATACATTAGTGACTATGTGACTGCACTACTGCTAAGACAGGGAAAGATATACAAAGTATTTTAGAAAGCTAAAATAAGTGCAAATTAGGTGAGTTTAACAAGTTCATCTTCATTTATCATCTTCATGTAATTCCCCACCTTTAAAAAAAAACTGTAGTTTTTACAGTAAAAAATCTATAGTTTATGTTAAAATAGGAAAAGGACAAATTTAAAATTAGGGGTGTTTTATTTATTTTTATTTTATTTTATTTTTTTATTGCTTAAAGTATTACAAAGGGTATTACATATGTGTCCTTTTTTTCTTCCCCGCCCTTGACAATCCCAATTTAGGGGTGTTTTAAAAGCCACCATCAAACTTGAGGGGGCTGGGGTGTTTTCTCTGATCACCTTCTGTTCTAAAGTATGCATCCAGACCTAAACCTGTCCTAGACAGTTCAGGAAACCATGTGCCTATGATCACTTTCAGAAGTGACTCATCTGTAGTCAGTCATTCAGTTAAAGGCACTGGCTGAGCGCCGACTTTGTGCCAGGTGCAAAGGATAGATCTGCCCCAACAGGGAATTAGAATATTCTGTGCTCCGAGCCAGGACTGGGGAAGCCCAAGGTTTTTGCAGGGACGCCTGCCTAAAGGGGTCTGGTTCCCCAGAGGAAGGTGCATTAGGCTGGCGGTAGCCGAGGAAGGGCATGTTCTAGTTTTTTCCCCTCTTTTTGGAGGGTGGGGGAGGGAAGCAGCACAGCCATGGAGCCAAAAAGAAGATGAAGTAATGAGGAAGCAGCTTGCATGATTGGGCCACTTGGGTGCACTGCACGTTTATGACTGCGGTGGCAAGTCTGGAGGAGACAGGGTGAAAACAGACCTTGTAAAAAACAGTCTGAGGGCACCGATATTTTTTCAGGGTGAACAATTTTTAGAGGGTTTGAAGTTTGGGGCACAAGGTAAGAAATAAGAATCACCAGGAGTGTCACAATTCTCGATTAGCACATGGTAATCGGTAATCACTATGTGATTTTCTCAGATACAGCCGATTAACACAGACTTCTCAGTATCAATTTTCCTCCAAAGAGTACTAGAGTATTCTGTGAAAACTGACTTCTGAAAACAATTATTTCTGAATTAAAACAATCCCTTAATTCTGGAAGGCTTGAGGGCTTCAGGCCAAGCCAAATAAAGTTAAGGAGAAAGAACCCCGAGTTCTCAAACAGCACAGATGGGATCAAAAGGTCACTGTGGAAACCCACTCTCCTTATCTAACTCTTCTTGGCTTTCTAGACGTCACCTGGAAAGGAGCCGTTCCAGGAGCTCCACCCCGAGTCCTGCTGTGTCCTTCCTGGCTCCACCTCTCGTTGGAGCTCAGCTGCCTCAGGGATGGGGATGGTCATGTCACTGACTTCTCCCTAAACTACATGTGGACCTGTACTTGGATGAAGAACTGCATCTTCCCATGTTGCTTCTGGGCTCCTGCTTTGCCAGCATTACACAAGCTACATCTTCTGTTTTGGTTTAATTCTTTGGTACATAGACACCAAAGATGGTATGTTTAGAAAACCACATAAAGTGTTTTCTCAGTGATTCTCTCATTAGTTTCACAACTCTGGGAGGAAGCTAAAGTTGCAATTATCACCATTTATCCTCCAAATATAGATTTCAGTTTACTAGTACATGGTAATTATTAATAAAGGTGAAAAATTTCCATAGATGTATTGGCCATAAGTATTTCTTCCTTTGTGAGTTGCTAGTGGTCACTTTCCTACAGAGGTCACATGACATACTGGTCCCAACAGAGTGCTATGTTTTAAGGTACTTTCTTATGATGTTTAGCAAAGGCAGGTTATGGTGTTTTGCTTATCACTACCAAGCAGGTATTCTTCTGATCACTACATATTACCAAGTCCAAGGTGAGTCCGTTTTTAAAAAAACTACAAATAGCTAGCGTAATCAAATGACTTACAACAGTTTTAACAGCTATGGCCATTAACCAGAGGAAAATAGTAAAATATTTAATATAAAAGATCACCGAATCATTTCCATGGGAAAAAAATTACAATAAAAAAGAGTTTAGCATCACCCCAATGTTCTGATATTTCTGTTGTCCTGGGGGCAATGAGCTATGTCCACGCTAGGCAGTCCAAAGCTGACCAAGGACAGCTGATATTCACAAGAACCCATCTGGAGGCGTAGGAAGGCCTGGCTATTTGTTGCTGAAGATTCTGCAAACTCTAGTTCTAAATCAACAAAACCCAGACCAAACTTCTTGGCTACCTTCCCCACCCAGGATATCTTCGAAATTTCTAAAGAGAAGAGTTATCAACAACAGCATCCATCCATCATACTGCTAATACCCCTTGTTTCAAAATATCATCAGCAAATTTCCTTCAGAGTCTGGGTTAAGGAGAAAATTATCTCACCTGATATACTTGGCCTTTGGTACCTGTTGCAATTATATAACTCATTGATAATTACCTCCTTATCTTGGCTGCTAGCGAACTCATGATTGCTAGAATAATTTTTTCTTTTCCTTCAATACTTTTTTTTTTTTACCTTTTATTGCGTATTAACAGTTTTAGATCTTGAGGTATACTGTGATTTAAAAACAAGCTAAGTGAAATAAGCCAGTCAGAGAAAGACAAGTATCACATGATCTCACTCATATGTGGAATTTAAAGAACAAAATAAACCCAGAGACATAGAAGCATAAAACAGACTGATGTATTTCAGAGGGAAGGTGGGGGTGAGTGGGAAGAGATTAAACAAAGAACTTATATGCATACCCCATGGACACAGACAATAGTGTGGTGAAGGCCTGGGGTTGCGGGGGAGGGAGGTGTGGGGTCGAAGGGGTCAATGGGGGGGGGGGAGAAGGGACATCTGTAATACTCTCAACAATAAAAATAAATTAAGAAATAGGTAAATAGAAACAAGCTACTTCGAATCCTTTTTTATAGTAGCTGAGGTTTAACTAGTGTTTATTTGGTATCATCAAACCAAAAATTGCCAAGTAAACAAAACAGTAATCAGTGCACTGCCTCCATGAGGTTGGGGAGGGATCAGAATAAGCAGTAATTACTAATTCTGAGTTCGCAACAATCCCATGTGTTCCTAATTATATCAAAGGGGTGATATAGAAATTTCTCAAAAAGGGAAAACAAAAAATTTTAAGAGGGTTTCTAAATCAAGTAATTAAAGGGAATAAAAATCCCAAATCTTAAGGGGGAAAAGAACACTGCACGGCCAATTTGCTTGTTGTTTTCCATTCTGGGTTAGTGAGAAGAGGAAGCTGAAGAAGAGGGAAATGATATCACCAAAGAAAAGACAAATCTAAGAAATGTAACCTCTGCTTTGTATTTCACGAATCTATATAAAGAAGACAGACAGCCCTGGCCCGGTAGCTCAATTGGTTAGAGCACTGTCCCAATACACCAAGGTTGTGGGTTTGATCCCTGGTCAGGGCACATACAAAAATCAACTAATGAATGCATACATAAGTGGAGCCAACAAATCAGTATTGCTCTCTCTCCCCCTTCCTCTCTCTAAAAATCAATAAATAATTTTTTAAAAAAAGACAAAATCAATCCTATATCAATGCAAATCGACCAAATGGCAGAACAACCTTTCACTATAATACACACTGACCACCAGGGGGCAGATGCTTAACGCAGGAGCTGCTTCTTGGTGGTTAGTGCGCTCCCACAGGGGGAGTGCCGCTCAGCCAGAAGCCAGGCTCACAGCTGGTGAGCGCAGTGGCGGTGGCAGGAGCCTCTCCTGCTCTGCAGCAGTGTTAAGGATGTCCGACTGCGGCTTAGGCCCACTCCATGGACATCCCCCGAGGGCTCCTGGACTGCGAGAGGGCACAAGCTGGGCTGAGGGAGCCTCCCCCAAGTGCACGAATTTCATGCACTGGGCCTCTAGTTAGTTCATAAAATAGCAGAATGCGATCAAAGGCAAGGGCTTCCTCATCATACACAAATTCTGACAGGCTGCCACGCTCTTGAACTCAATGAAGGGGAACCCTGAGGTACCATACCACCACGTGCTTTTACAGACATGAGATATATTTCCCAGGCCCAGCTCAAAGAGCTGCCACGTTTGGCCCTACCTGCAGACGATGACGTGTGTTCCTAACCATCCTACAATACTCACATCAGTGTCGGTCGGTGCCACTGAGTGGATCGGTTGTTGTGGTTGACGTAGTAGGTCCGACCTAAATTGTCCACTTTCTCTTCCCAGCCAGGGGGCAGAGGAGGAGGAAGCTCCTCCTGGTGCTGAGAAGCGGAGTCATTTGAGTCCACGACTTCCCACCCGTGCTGTGGAGTAAGATCACAGGGAAGGTCATGAGGCTGGATCTTCAAGCGAGGAAAAGACACTCACAGTGCCCCCTGTGTCCTTGCTCTGCTGCTCTCTGGCTCCTGCAGTGGCTTCATGTGCCATATTTGAAGAAATTCCCCAAAAGGGGCAAAAAACCCCCCAATTCCAGGAGAGTAGTATTAAAATATTTTGAGCAATAGTCAACTAAGTGTGGCCATTTTGCCTTAAGATGACTACTAGAAGGAGCCACAGAGAGTTGGTAATGTACTATCTGCTGTGTTCCTAAGTCACATTCTACTCCTTCCACATTGAATATTCGTTATTTTGACCCAAAGGCCTCCAAGGCTGTACAAAGCCAGGGCACCGACGCGGGTCTTGTTACACGTGCTATCTTTTCAACACCTCCCAAAGGCAAAGGGGAGCTGGGAGATAAGCTGCACTGCGTGTGTTCTAACAAAAATTGCAGCACCAGTGACCAGGAGGGAGGTTGGCCCTGAAGCTGGCTTTGGGGGTGAAACACACACTCCCCATCCAGTACAATCCCGGGAGCCAGAGATGTCTGAATGCTGTGGCATTCTACTTACACCCACTACTCGCTGGGGCCACATAAACAGGCTTCATGGTACCAGTTACATTTTTGCAACACATATTTTAGGCATTAAGTATTCCTTCCTAACATCCCCTAGTAAAGTCACTGGAAAATGAAGTAATTCACGGGTTACTACGGTTGGGAGGTTAGAAGAGTGTAAAAAAAATTCCTTGGATTTGAGATAAGAATCTGTTGATGTGCTTGTGAAATCTTAACATTCATGACTGTCTACCTCCCACTTCACTCCTCCTCACAGATGAAAGCTCACAGATGAAATACTGCCTGGAAATCCGACCTCTGGGTCTGAGGGAGGCTCAGTTGACTTGCCCACATAGTCACATATCACATATATGCAACAGCTGCAAACAGATGTGTAAAACAAGCCATAGAGAGGCCTTGTTTAGTGGACATTTTCAGGACGAGATAAGACTCTAACAAAACAGCACTATCTGAAGGACATGCTGAGAAGGTACAATAGAACCCACGGATTAGGTATGTGACTAGCAAGTTAAAAGGCAGCGAGGCCAAGAGGGAAAGAAAGAAAATTCCCCTGACAGCTCATTCCAAAATGGCATTTCTAGTGGAAAGCTTGCCTGATTCACACTGTCACCTGTGGGCCAAACGAGTGAGAGACCTGGCAAAGATTTTCTAAATCACTTGATCCACTTTGAAGCAATTCCACTTGCTAAATGGAATTTACAAAGAACTGAGAGTCCAAAGTAATAACAGAATTAAATATGTGAGGAGAATTCACATAGGGGTGGGCTATTAATAAAATATGAGTTTAGCATTTTATAAAGAGAAATCTTTTCAATTATTAGTGTTGTAATGTAAGATGAAAAGTTCGTCTTTTTTACTAAAAACAAACACACTGGTAGATGATCAAAGACAGATTCCCGGGCACTTTTAAGTTTTTTCATACTTAAAAGCTTTATAAACTTTTATTTCTTTAAATAATAAAATCCTACGATGAAATAGTCATATGATCTTAGGCAAGGAAGAGAGACCAAGGCCTGATGCTCTTACCTCCATGTCTTCCCTCTGCTCACTGTTTTCTTCATCTTGGCCTCCATTTTTTGGCATATAGGCCATTTTCAATCTCAAGAATCCCTTAACTCGAGATTTATGACTGTATGATAGAAGAACATTGGTTATAAAGGATATGGCTTGGTTATATCTTTCATATTTATGATGACTTTTAAAAAAGGTAAAACAGGAAAAGTTGCTAAATCTTCCTCAGAGAAAACCAATAACCAAGGCATAATGGACCCCTGCCCCTGAGGCCTCACCTTCTTGGTCTGAGGAGAAAGTCCTTAAACGTGTAGGGTCGCTCCATGGTTGGGTCTTCTGTCTGCGGGAAGAAAAAGTAAGTTTCAATACCCCTGAGATATTGTATTGTTAGGTACACCAGACTGGATTACAGAGAGTACATTTTCATTTTAGAATGTGGGAACAGCAAAGACAGAGTCGGTTCCTCAACCAGTTACTTGGACAATTATTTAACATTTTATAGGTCCCAGACTTTAGTCACTCAAGATCCACTAGATGTCACTATCAACATCTGTTTTTAGGAGCCAACCCGGCCTTAGACAAATGACAAAATGATAGTGGTCAATGCCAAGCATAATTCCTAACTGCAGGGTGAAGGCCTCAATCTCACATACTGGTTAACGTCAGAGAACCAGTGGTCATCCAAGAAACCTAAAGATGGAGTTAACAGGAAAGTATGCAAGATCTAATCTGTGAAGGGAATAATTTTACTTTAACATTGTCATCAGCCTAGACAAATGAAAGGTTATCTCCTCCACAGAGATCGTCCTAGGTGGCACCATCAATCTACCTTTTGCTGCTGCTTATTTCATGAAGATATGAATGCAATTGTAACATTTATCGATTTTTCAAAGAAATCAAAAGATCGTGCTTAATCAAAGCAAGCAGGAAATTAGAAAAATAAATGTTACTATTTCATTAATTAAATAGTAAAATCTCAAAAACCTAGGTTCTTTAATGAAACACAATTTAGAATATTTACTTCTGTAACAAAAGAGACCACAATACCATGATTTTTTTTGTATGAGAGGGGTGTGTGTGTATGTATTTATATTTGAAATTAGTGACCTGGTGCACAGATCCATGCACACTGAAAGGAAATTAATTAGAAGGTGGCTGGTGGGGCGGGTCTGGGCGGGGCGGGACTGGGCAAGAGGGGCGAGACATGCCCTGGAGCCAACCTCCCGCAGGTCCCTCCCCACCGTGGCTCGAAGGGTGTCTGCGCAGTGAGCTAGGTCCCTCCGGCAGGTGGGGTCCCTTGGCCTGGCCTGTGGGGATTAGGCCCAAACCAGCTCTCTGACATCCCCCGAGGGGTCCTGGAGTGCGAGAGGGCACTCTGCAAAGTTGCTGTTGTACAGGGTGTGGAACTCAAATGCAAGTGTGCAATAAACCAGATTCAGGGCCAACAGTGCTCCAGCAACAACATAACCCACGGCTGAAGGTGTAATCACATGGCCCTGTGAGGAATTGGGCTCCCTCTTCTCTAGTTTTGGGGTGCGTCACCCGAGAACCACTGCTGTCAAGTCACTGTAGCTCGGCAGCTCCTGCATTTAGCATCTGCCCCCTGGTGGTCAGTGTGCGTCATAGCTACTGGTTGGATGGACACTTAGCATATTGGCCAAATATATATATATGTTATCTATTTGTCATTCCCTGCTTTAAACTGCCGATGGTTTCTTCCTTTGCTTATAATAAACTGAAAATTATTTCTATGCCTTCAAGGTCAAACAGGGTCTGGCTGGTAATTACCTGTAACCTCACTGTGAACCATTTGACTTATCCTTTCTTGGCTGCTATTTCAATCACTTTGTGTTGCCCAAGAGCCAGAGGAGGGGTGGAACAATATGGAAAAGCAAAGCTGGAATATGAGGTGATCTATTGCTCACCAAGGCCTCCAGGTCTTGTCCCCACAGTCTGTCTATATTTCCTCAGGGGCATCTCTAACCTCAGTTATTTGTCAATAGATCTAAGTGTTTTGCTGCTCATCTGAGCAGAGGGAAATGGTAGCTACACCACACATGCTAACTCATATTTCTAAAGCTGAGTGACAAGTTCACTCAGAAGCAACAGCATCTTTTGTCTGTGCTGACTGAGAAAGCCATATAGCAAATTCTGGGCACCACCAGCTTGTAGAGATGTAGGCCACAGAAATAGCATGTGCAGTTCTAGACAAAGGGAAAACATGTTTCATTAGATACAGAGGATGAATTTGAAAGCAAAAACACCCCAGTGACTAGGAGGGGTCTGACAGAGGAAGGGAGCTGTTTTCCATGAATTGACAAAGGAAGACGAAAGAGCAGAAGAGCAAGATGCAGGTGACATTGACTGGCATACTTGGAGATTCAGATACACTTGATTCTTTCCTATCCCCATGAAAAGACCACTTTCTGGGGGGAAAAAAACTAGGGCTCTTTATTTCAGCCTTCTCCACTGTGTTGAGAAAATATTACTCTGAAAATATATCCAGCTGAAAACAATGAGAAGTCACTGATCACAACAGGCAATAGAAAGCAGGTAACCATCCTCACCGGGAGATGATTAAGGGGCACGTCCACCTGTCCCAGGAAGTCGTCTCGTGTCTGTTGAGAAGAGAGCAGAGAGTTAATGTTCTCATTGAGTTCAGAGTGTCAGCATTCTTAAAACATTTCTTTACAGACAGAGACAAAGGTCCAGGGCCTGACACTACGGTGCCACGGGGATGGGTCAAGGCAGATGGCCCAGATAGCTGTCATCTGGGAGACAGGTGAGCCCAGGCCCCATACACCTAACATTTAGATGCCCGAGGCTTTATGGGATGTCCACTACCCAAGTCTCAGCAAACTGTGCTCTCAACCTCGACTGTGGAGAGCTACCATCCCAGTATCTTACTGGTGGACTGCCTTGCTTTCCCTGCCTGGTACTGAGATATGGGACCGAAGATTACTAGGTTAAGAGCCTGGACTCAAACCAGCCTACCTAGATAGGAGCCTGGAGCAGGTCACAGGTCTTCCTGGTCACCAGGCTCCCCAATAATGACGTAGGCCTATTAATACTAGTAGTGCCTATATTCTCTGGTTGCTGTGAGGACAAGGTGTGGTCTTGGCAGGGCCTGCTTCGATGTTGTGGCCCGACATGGCAGGTGCCTCTTCTGGTGTCTGAACAAAGCTGAGACATTTGCCGAAACCGGTTTGGCTCAGTGGATAGAGCGTCGGCCTGCGGACTGAAAGGTCCCAGGTTCGATTCCGGTCAAGGGCATGTACCTTGATTGCGGGCACATTCTCAGTGGGAGATGTGCAGGAGGCAGCTGATCGATGTTTCTCTCTCATCGATGTTTCTAACTCTCTATCTCTCTCCCTTCCTCTCTGTAAAAAATCAATAAAATATATTAAAAAAAAAAAGCTGAGACATTTGATCAGTTTAGAACAGGTGATAGGTCATCTATTGGACCTGAGAAGCATATGATTGTCAAGAAAGTGTCACTCAGGTTGATCGAGACTTGGGGGTCATAGCTGGACCAATTTAAAGAGAAGATAGTAAAGACATGTTGGGAACATTTTAACAAATACAGGTGTGGCAAAAGGAGGTTGACAGTTGTTCATCTGGAAAATTATAAAATAGTAAATAATAATGCAAGCATAAACTGTGTCTCACATACTTACAACTTTAAGCCTACTTTTGCACACCCGGAATTTATTGATCAAGTGCTATAAACTAAAGAGCTCCTGAGAACTGAGAGTCTAGGGAAAGAGTGCACAGTCTGGTTATTAATAAATCGTATACATTACTTATCATAAAAAAATGGCCTCATTTCAATCTAGTAAGTACATTGCTTCAGAATCCAAGTTCATGGATTAGTTACTGGTTAAACTGTAGACCCACCATGCTTCTTCTCCTCTCCATCTACTACACAGCACAGATCTTTCTGACTTAAAATAGACTTAGATGAAATTCACTCAGAGAAATTCTCACGGGTGCTTCTTCAGGCTCTGGGAGGCACCTGGGAAGATGTAACTCAGTTCAGGGGTCATGACCTGGCCCATGGGGTGTCTGACAAGTTGTTTGCACTATGTCCTGCTGTTAGAGTGCATGCGTCATAGCCACTGCCCTGGCCCTAGGCACAACCAGACACAAGGACTTCTATAACCCTCTTATAAAAACAGGCAGTGGCACCTACCACATTCAGAAATGCCTAAAACCTGGCAAGCCCTGTCCCACAGCCACCTTGAGGCCAGACCTCTCACTCTGAGTCTGGGCTCTTATTTACACTCTTTACTAGTTTGCCGTGGACTTTTATCATTTCTGGAAACCACTTCTCAAATGTACTTGGAAAACGTCTCTTCTTGCATTTAAAAAGCAGCAGCAGGTAAATATAAATGAGAGTTAGTGACATGATTTGCTCCAGGCTTAGGATTTCCTTTTAGGTAATTTAAAAAATGTAATTAACTAGAAAGCTATCTGTCTCCTCTAAACGATGCATGAAGGATAATGGAAAATCAAAGTTACTGCTGGTGTGCAGGAAGCATGAGCTAAGCCCAATCCTTACGATGAGATTCTCATTGTTTTCTTAGCTACATTTGCTATAACCCACCACGGATATACCTCATCTAGCACAAGGCTAGGAGGTGCCAATAAATGCTGTATATATTTTTTTAAAAATATTTTTATTGATTTTAGAGAGGACGGGAGAGGGAGAGAGAGATAAAAAAAACATAAATGATGAGAGAGAATCACTGATTACCTGACTCCTGCACGCCCCCTTCTGGGGATTGAGCTCGCAACCTGGGTATGTGCCCTAACGGGGGATCAAAACATGACCTCCTGGTTCAAAGGTTGACGCTCAACCACTAAACCACAATGGCCCGGCAATGCTATAGATCTTAACAAAAGAAGCAGCCTGCAGAAGGCTCAGAAAAGGAAGGCAGCTTTGCTGTCCAAAGAGTTAGGGAGCATTCCAGCCCCAATCTGGCCAGTTTATTTATAATTACAAAATCAGTGTAATTATCAGTTAACTCTACAATAAAAAATTAAAGCAAGAAGTGTGTTGACTACTGACCATAAATTGCCTGTCTACCTAATTGCTACTTGTCCCCTCTTCTCCTGCTACTGGTGCTGATGCTGGGAAAGAAACGGAGATGGGATGCAACTGCCAGAAGGAGATCACCTCATTCAGAGCTCCAGTCATAACCTGATACCATCAAAAGGCCATTCATCCATCGTTAACCTCAGGGCACTGCAACAAAAATCCACATAACAGCTGCACGCCCATGCTGTTTTTCTGGGGAGATGTTAAATGTCTCAGCTTTGTCCAGACACCAGAAGAGGCACCAGCCACGTCGGGCCACAACAGTGAAGGAGAATCTTACTGAGATGGTGGCTCTCCACAGTCGCGGCTGAGAGCACAGTTTGCCGAGACTTGGGTGGGGAGTTCTGTGAAAATGCCATTTGCTATGTTATCGTTAACACCACGTCTGGTTTGGACTCTACTTCTTCCCTCCAATGCAATAGTTTTGCTGAATCCCCGAGGCCTGAGGCAGCCTCACTTGTACCTTAACGAGTCTTCCCATTGCATTGAAAAACAATTTCTAAAACCGCCAAAGATGGAGCAACCTCAGGATTAAAGTACACACAAGGCCCTTATTTCTGGTGGACATCAAGGATGACTAAAATAAAAGAATTTTTATAATAAAATAGGGATCAAGTTTAGAACAGCACATGGTCCAAAGGAATGGGCTTAACCGAGGGTTTCATCCATCAGTGGAACGTGTTGGTGAGACCTGCTTTCAAAACATCCCACTGCTGCCCAAACCGAAGAAATTGTAGGGAATGTGAACCACTTAGGTTAAGGACACTATACCAATTTTAAAACATGTCTTCAATACCGCAGAAGAGCTTAGTAGGGGTTCAGAGGGCCGACTAGTGACCTTTGTGTGAGATGAGAAGCAGGCGTGTCTCAAGGACACCTGGGTGTGACAGTAACAAGACAGAAACAGCGTGCCAGGAGGAGGGATCCCCACCTGCAGGCCCCGTAGAGACATTTGAGGCTATCACCATATCCTCAGGTTATCATGCCACAGAATGACACCTTACACCAATATTATAAAAACATGTTATAGCAAATCAATTTTTAATAATTTCCACTACAAAGTTATTTTCATCAAGCTTCATGTTAACTAGAAGTAATTACAAAACCCCAATTAGTTTAACTCATACAGTGAATACTGGCATTTATTGAACTTATTTTTAAGTGGTAAAAGCTATCAATTTCAACCTCAATTACCTGTCATACTATTCTAGAGGCTGAAAATGTACAGGTTAGTACCAATTATAAATGTTCCCTTCTGACAAGCCATCAAATATTTTTCCAATGTCATGATAACACAAAACAGAGCCCCTGAAACCTGTCATAGAAGGTAAAAGTGAAATTAATACCAACACTTTCTTTTAGCGCTTGCTCTCTAAACGACGATTAACTATATTCAGGACCACCCCTCCCCGCATTTATTTATTTATTTATTTATTTATTTATTTATTTATTTATAAAAGCAAGCAAGAGTTTATTGACAACAGCAAAAACAGTGAAACAAGGGAGGGCATAGAAGAAGCAACAGGGGAGCCTAGGCTGGGCTGCTTTGGCTCACTGGGAAGTCAGAGAACAGGGGCCTTGGAGACAGGTTCAGGGGGTTAGCCTGGGACGAGCTGCTGCTGCCCCTTGGTCGCCTGGTTGCAAGTCTCATGGGGTCCCTTAGAGGATAGTGTGGAGGTGCGGACAGGAGGAGGTGGGGAGGGAATGGCACAGTTGTACTCCCTGAAGGGAAAGTGTGCCTCTCCCTGCTTTTAAATAACTATTCCCTTTCAAATAAGAAGGGTTTTGGTGTCAATGCCACTGGAACCCAATGCTGGGACTATTCTGGCAGTGCCGGTGAACCCTATTATGGCGCTGGAGCATTTCCCCAGGCTTCCTGCACATACGCTGGGCCAGAGCTGCCGGCACCGAGTGCCCACCAGGCTCAGTTGTCTTCACAAATGAATGAGACACAATTGCACAAAGAACACATGAAAAAAACAGCAAAGTCTTTCTTTAGGTCAGAACTGCACTTGAAGGACGTAATCTGAATCTCACTGCACACTAATGACCACGGAGGTCATGGGTAAATGAGGCGAGGGCCGTGCATTTCCCAAGGAGGCCGAGAAAGAGCGCACAGGACCACATGGGAAGAAAGGCACTGGAAGCAGGGAGGATGCTCACAGGGCAAGCAGGGGCCAGAAAGGCTCCTTAGGAAGGTGCATCAGAGAGCTGGCACTTCCTGCAAGGTACAATGACCGCACGGAATAGTGGAGCTTTACATTAAGGTAGAGTTCCAACTGTGAGTAGTTCACAAGAAGCTTTTTAAAAAAATTAAAAATGGAAGAGAAAATATTAGTGTCTCACATGAAACATTGAGCAAGTACTGTTTTGAGAAACTTATTTCAGTTACATACATATGAGTATGTGTGCTAAGTTTTGACCTAAAATTAATTTTTCTTTGTGTAACATCATCAAAAGTTTAAAAGCCACTGAACTTATAGCAAATGAAAACCAGCCAGTACTACCAATGGCTGG